AAGACTACACAACATATTCAACACATTCCCTCGTCCAACTGATCACTCAGAGATATGGAGGCTTGCAATTGCAGTGCAGGATCATAAATTTGAAATTGAAGGGCTTCAAGATCTGATTTCCCAACAACTCTAGCTGTAGGAATTAATCAAGTCTCCTTCACCGGTGAACATTGTTCTTTGTTCATCCATGATAAGTCAAGGAATGTAATAAAAATCTACTTGACAAGTGTTAACCCTACAACAACATCACTGTAAGCAAAGCAGCGTTGCGTTTTTTTGTCAGAAGGATTAATCATTCATTAATGGGTTTCTAGTTGGCTGAATTAAAAAAGAAAAAAACCCACATAGCTCCGCATCAATTAAGGATAAAATTTTAGGGTTCGCTGTGATGGGATGAATCTGAATGAACCAAAACCAAAAGAGAAGCCATTGTAGCTTTGTTATATTTTACATATCATTCTATTTGATAGGAAGTTCATTGCAAGATGCTACCAATACCATGACTGAACTGGTAAGAAGACTTGTCTTAGATATTAATTGAACGGCAACAATGAGAGAGCGAAAAAACAAAATCAAAAAATTACCTTGTTTGGCAGAACATCAACAACAGATACATGTAAGCAAACCAATGGAGATCCACTCTTCTAGAAAAGCAATATCATCCCAAAACGTGGTGTACAATTAGATGAAATGAATAAGAGGAAGAAGGGAGTGGGGTTTTCAATGAGGAGCAAAAAAAGAGGGCAGCGAGAAAAAGAAAAGAAATTGAAGAAAAAGAAGGCAGCAGGCAAAAGAGAGAGTGTCTTATGAACAGGTAATACACAGCAAATAAATACGGTTTTTTTTTTTTTTTTTTTTTTTGTAATTTGCAATAGTCAGCATTATCATCATCATCATCAAAATACTAATTAAGGATTTCTCAAACAAAATACTACTAAGAAGATGATGGAGCTGGATCACAAGGACCGGAAGAAACCCTAGCAGGAAGCCCTCAAGAGCTGATTTCATTTCTTTAGCAGCCCACTTTTGTAATTGCCCAAGCCCAAAATAGATTTAGTTAAGAAACTTCTGGATCTATATATTACAACGTTGAGGCCCATAAGATATCTAGTGGGCTTTTTTCCTTCTTTTCAGCAATACGGCAGCTCTCGGCTAGTTTGGAAAACAAACTCCTCGTCGTTTGGGTTTGGGTGTTGAGCAGATCATATTCACCAAGAATCCAACAGTAATGCTTTTACAAATAATAATACTAATAATTCCATCTTTCTCAAGAGCTAGGAGATGCATATATACCAAGTACAGAAAACTGATAGTAGTATATCTAATATATATATATATATATATATATATATATATCCAGTTTTCTTTCTTTTCTTTTCTTTTTTCAAAAATTTCACTCTAAAGGAAATCAATTTTAAAAAACTTTAAAATCAAATTTCAAACACACACAATAAAAACAAAAAGTTTCCCTCTATTGAGATTTTATAAAATTCGAATTTTATTTATTAAAATTTAAAATTTTTTTATTTAATTAAAAAATTCTACTCTTATATTATTATTATTATTTTAAATTTTAATATATCAGGTAAAGAAACGTATAAAGCTTCCTCTCTTTTTGAGTGTCCCCGCTTCCAATTGAAAATGGTAATTTGATGGGGGAAACTAGGGGACCATTACTTGCATTCCCATAACTTTTCTCGGGCAATTGGGTTCATGTACCCACGCCCTTCACCGTCACAACCCATTAATTTCTCTCATGACTCGAACACAAGAACATGAAAAGATGTGACGAAGATTCAATTCATGAGCTCATTTCCTTTATTACAACGACTACAGCCTACACAATAATTGTAGTTTAGCTTTTGTTTTATGATAAATTAATCCTGGATCTTTCTCGTCATGAATCACTAAACTACTAAATGTGTTGAAGAGAGCTTACCAATAATAAATTATTGCTTGGTCTAGAATAGATCCCTGTTGTATCAAATCATGATTTCCTTGATAGCTGGTTCAACCACAGCCTCGTGTTTATTGTAGAATAACAAACATGAGTAATCATGATTAGAAAGCCTTCGATGTTTTTAATGTAGTCTTATTCATGGTGATTAAGGCTTACCTATGATCAAGGAGACAGAATTGACTAATGGGGTTTGGTCTCCTGGTTGATTATTGTAGAGAGACAAAATTGCCAACTTGGATACCACTTTATTACAATAATTTTTAGCTACGAATTGTTGCTTCGATGGTGACAAAAGGACTGTTTTCTTGGACTACATCAACCTCAGTTTCGTAAACCATTATTAGTTGTGATCATATGCAGTGTTGAAAGTGAAAGAGAAGAAAAAAACACAGAGAAGCATTTGGTACCTTATTGGATTCAACATTTGGAAGGGCTAATTGGATTGTAGAAATATGAGGGTGATTTGTCGTGCATCGATCCATTTTTTTTTTTTCCCTTGAAAATTTAGGGTAATAGTATTAGTTAGGTAGTCCCTCTTGATTTTGTTTTCAAATTAAAGAAATGCACCGTGGTGGTATTTCACTGAACCTGAAGCATTACCTAAAACGCCAGTACTCATCCATTCCTGGCAAAAGCAAAAGAAATGTACGTGATTAACTTCAATGATGAGCTTTTGTTATACAAACACACGAGGAAAAAATATTAAAAGATCATCTCATCTAAAAGCTTAGGTCGATAAGTGAGTTCCTATAATATAATTTATATTAATCTCTAACACACCCCTTCAGTGAAAGCTCTAACATTTAGGCTTGAAACTTGCATAGTCCACATTCTCTTGTGCTTAATACTTGAGAAATTGAAAATGATAAGATTTAAACTCAAGACCTTTTGATTAATCGAGCTCGATACCATATTAAAGGATCATCTTACGTAAAAGTTTAAGTTGATAGGTGAGATCCTAGAATATAATTTATATTAATCTCTAACGTAATGACACGAAAAGCTAGATTCATGCCCCAAAGATTATATATATATATATATATATATATATATATATATATATATATATATTTATCAAAAAAAATTATTGTAAATTATTGATATATTACTGTTACAGTAAGTTAGTGATAAGAAGTAAAAATTTGTTAATAATTTATATTCGTGAGATCACAGCTTGCACCTGGGCTGCTGTTAGTAGCAATCCATGTCCCATCAAATATAACAAAATCTTTACATCTGGTTATTATCTTTACATCAAATATGATAAACCTTTTTAGTTGAAAAAGTACAAGCACAGTAAAATATTGTTTATTGGACAACGAACAAAAATTAGATCTGGAAATAGCATGTGGATGTCACTAATGAGCAAGCAAATCTCCCATCTTTTAGCTTCTCTTCGCCTTTTTGAAGGAGATGATGCTCTACGACTCTTCTGTCATTTCCAGTTTGCCATCCTCCACCCTCAATTATATAGCATATAGTATTTTTTTATTAGTATTATTATATAATACTTTTGCTTTCGTATTATTAAATAAATTTCGGCCTTCACACGTAACACGTTGGATTTTGGATTTTTCTAATAAATAAATTTATAATTCTAAAGAGTGATTTTTTGCGAGTCTATTTTTAGTAGGAATAACATTTGAGATTTTATCTTATTAAGATGATCAAAGGGTGAGCCTCACAGCAGAGGAGTGATTATCTGTGCATGGAAATTATTATCCGTCACTAATTTTGCTTTAAACATCCCAATACCTTTTATCAAAAACTTTTTTTACACTCTTATGAGATAGAAAAGAAAAAAGAGAGAGGGACATAATTAAAAAAATTAAATTTGAGATTAGATACTCATATAATTTTCTTTTACCTATGACTCGTAGTCTAAGGGTAATAAATTTTTTGGACTTTACAAAAAATCATTAGTTCAAATCTTCTATTTTAAGTATTTAAGATTAAAAATTCCTCGTTATAAGAAGATGTAATTTAGTTGATCATGATAATATAATTTTTTTTTTATCTTGTTAAATAATAATTTCTTAATGTCTAATAATTGAATGAGTTAAAGAGTTTGTTTCGCTGTTTAGACATTAGGAGATTATATATATATATTCAAAATTTATGCGTGCATGAAGCAAATGTTTATGGGTTAATCGTTAAATATTTATAGCTAACCACTCCTCTACTCTTTCTTTATACGTAGCCATCATAAATTTTTTATCTATTTTTTTGGCCTCTTTGTGCCAATTCGTATTTATCTTCATTATTACAGCATAGAGAGACATACATACGACAGCAGTTGTTTTTGTGTTATTGCGTGTGGCTCTCTTTTTATAAATCAAAGACAAGACATCAAACATTTGACTTCTCTCTCTTTCTGAAAACTCAGCAGCCTCTTATCTTCTGACATTTGGCTCCTGTGCTCCTGTCAAATTCTTGATTTCTAAAGCCCTCCGTCTTGATTTTTTCTGTTCTGGTCTTCAATAATTGTTGGTTTGTTTCTGTAAACTGATTGGTTGAGTCTTTATACTGATCAATTTAAAGACTTGGCCATCTGGGGATTTTTGTTTTAATAACAAAGAACCTAGATTTTGAAGGTTATGAATATTGAGTTGTTTTTATAGCTTAAAACTTTGAGATTTTGTTATCTGGGTTTTTTTTTTTTCTTTTTTGTGATTGATTGATTATCATTTCCGAGGGATAAAATCTCTTTCTGAAAGGTATTGAAAACTGGGTTTTGCAACTTCTGCTGGGTTTTATAGTTGATACTGTTAAGCTTATTTGAAATCCAAAGCAACTGAGTTTCAATTTGATTCCTACAAAAGTACACAGGTCAGGATTGTTTGAGTTTTGCTAATTACTTGAATTTAATAATCAAGCTACATTTATTGTGCAGTTTTGAAGCTGATTTTTGCTTCTTCTTTTTTTCCTTTTTATGTCACAGATATCCTTGTAGCAGATAATAGGAGGGTAATCTGCCTTATAGATTTTTGTTTAAGTTTGAAAATTGTCTTTGGAGAAACTATTTAAAGATAATAGAAAGATGACAACTGGAAGTATTGCTCCAAAGAAGGAGAGGAAATCAAGGAGGAACAAGCCAGTTGATGAGAATGCTCCCTTATTGCCTAAAAGGCAAGAGGATGTTGGTTTTGATGAGTTTGATGGAGCCTCCTTTCCTGGGGCAGTGTTCAATTTATCAACTACAATAGTTGGTGCTGGAATCATGGCTTTGCCTGCCACCATGAAAGTTTTAGGCCTTGTTCTTGGGGTTGCCTTGATCATCTTTATGGCTTTCTTGACAGAGGCTTCAATTGAGATGTTGCTAAGGTTTAGCAGGGCAGGGAAGACCGCTTCTTATGGGGGACTTATGGGGGATGCCTTTGGAAAGACGGGAAGGGTTATGTTGCAAGTTGCTGTTTTAGTCAATAACATTGGTGTACTCATTGTGTACATGATTATTATTGGTATGATGTCTTTTCATTGTCTGTGTCATGTGTCATGTGTCATGTCTATGTTAATTTATTGCTATATTTCTATGCTTTTAATACCTGCATGTATGTTCTTGTGAAGTTATATATAGTTACTGCATCTTTTTTATGTTGTTTTATTTATATTTTTGTTTTTCATATTTCTACTCCAGCTGGATCATGCTTATCCTTAGTTGAAAGACCTGAAATTTGTTCTGTGTTTTGTGTTTGCTTAACTGAAGGTGATGTGCTGTCCGGAACATCTTCAAGCGGAGCTCACCATGCAGGTGTGCTTGAAGGGTGGTTCGGAGAACACTGGTGGAATGCGCGTACATTCGTTCTTCTTGTCACAACACTTTTTGTATTTTTTCCACTGGCTTCCTTTAAGCGAATTGGTAAGTTGTCATGTTCTTGGTCATAAAGAGCTAGTATTTAGCTGCTTTCTCAATTTTTCATGTGCATCCTCATCTACTCAAAAGGAAAAATGAAAATAGATTTAGCAATTGTTGATGCTAAAGTAGGTGTTAAATTTATGGTATTTTTGGCACTTTGCTCAGGTTCTGGTGATTTAGAGTGTTGGCCTGATGGCCTTCCTTATTAGTAAGATTTTTTTTCCTCTTATTAGCGAAAGAGCAATTACTTGCAGGAAAAATTCCATGTAGCAGGAGCTTCAGGAAGAGCATTAATTGGAAAATGGATGATAACTTGCTTTTGCTACCTTTTGCAAGATTATTTTTATGTTAAAAGAGTTAAGGTTAATGTTTTCATTCTAGCTTTTTTTTACTTGTGAACTATGCGTGATATGAATGCTTTTAACATCCATATAGCATATGTTATTTATTCACTTGTTCTGCTATTTTGTCCTCTCTTTGTTATATGGACTCCTAACGCCGTATCTTTTCCAGCAAAATTCAATCCCACATTAGCTTTTAGTGCTTGTATAAATACTTGCATCATTTTTTTGCCACTTTATGTTTGGTTCTTCAAAATGGAGAATGATTGCGCCATTTATCTTTGCAGATTCTTTAAGTTTTACATCTGCCTTGTCAGTCGCTCTAGCAGTTGTATTTCTTGTCATCACTGTGGGGATCACAATTGTCAAGTTGGTAAATGGAAGTATAGCAATGCCCAGATTGATGCCCAATGTAACAGACATGACATCTTTCTGGAAACTCTTCACTACAGTCCCTGTTCTTGTCACTGCATATATCTGCCATTACAATGGTATGCGATACTTATCACAAATTTACTTGGGATTTTAATCCTGTTTTAAAATTGATGATTGATAAAAATAGGATGTAGGTTGATGACTATTTGGGCATTGTAACAGTTTTAAGGACTGCTTGCAACACCCTCCTAAAACGAAAATCGAAGATACACATTTTCTCCATTTTAAGCAGCATATTTTAGTAGCATGAAAGCAGGTTGTCTTGTTTTTGTTTAGCCACCTATTGTGGACCTAGATACTGGTTAATTCTGTCAACCCGTACAGTCTGAATTTCTGAATGATGTCTTAAAATATTTGGATTGTTTTCGTGCTCATGAACTGAGCATCTTAACCCCTAAATCTATTCAAATGACCTTGTTAGTTTACTTATAGTAGCTTAATTACAATTGGTAATATTTGTTCTTATGATTATCGATCTCTAAATACCTGACCTGAATCTAAACCAGTGATTAATAAGTACTGATCTTTGAGTACATCATTTCCAGTTCACAGCATAGATAATGAACTCGAAGACTCTACTCAGATAAAACCAGTTGTGCGAACCGCACTTGCTTTATGCTCGACTGTTTACATAATGACAAGCATCTTTGGGTTCCTTCTATTTGGTGATGCAACTCTTGATGATGTGCTTGCCAACTTTGACACTGACCTCAGGATTCCTTACAGTTCTCTACTTAATGATGCTGTTCGTGTTAGTTATGCTGCTCATCTTATGCTAGTATTTCCAATCGTCTTCTTCCCATTACGACTCAACTTGGATGGCCTCCTCTTTCCCTCAGCACGACCGTTTCATCAGGCAAATACGAGATTTGCATTAGTCACCATTGTGCTTATCTCTTTAATCTTCTTGGGTGCAAATTTCATTCCAAGCATCTGGGATGCTTTCCAATTCACTGGAGCAACTGCTGCAGTTTGCCTTGGTTTCATCTTTCCTGCTTCCATAACTCTAAGGTGAGTACTTCACTTGCATTTGCAAGTTCAGCTACTATCCTTTTCTTTTCATAATTTATTTCTTTTAATGCGTTGTTATAATTTGTATGTTCTAGTTTGTAGAAATGTCATTTAGGCTAGATATTGACAATTGGTTTGATCAATAACTTTTATCTAAGTTATAGTTATAGGTCTTAAAAATTATGAAGAAAGAGTAACTTGCTGGCTGGTGATTCCCAGTGAAACAAAATAAACCGACTGTTGTACAACCTGTGACGCTGAATGTATTGCCAGAGAGAGCCATATGTCGGTTGATGATTTCAATACAAAGGGCCAGCCTTGCAAGAATCTCTTATCTTTTTCCCCTGTATAGTTCTATTATGCTTGTGTTAATTTAGACTTTATATCAAAAATCTTAGAGCAGTGTACCCAACAATATTGTTGTGTGGAGCCAACACTTGGTTTGAGTAGTTTTCTCTTTGAACTCATACACCATATAATCAATAAACCACCATAAATGTAAGCTTTTGTTCGAATAGTTCTTTGACACCCCCAACCAATAAAAGCCACAGCAATGGTCATCTTGCCTTCAATTACTCAAATCAAAGATTCCAATCTTTAAAAGTGTTTCTGCACTTAGCAATAGAACCTGCATAGTTGCTTTCAGCAACATGTCCTGTTGGCTATAAGTTAATACTTGCAACCACAAGCTTAATAATTATTTTTCATGTCAGTGTTATAAATTGCAGCTTAGAATTAGGGGTTTTGGGGATTCAATGTTCAACTTTTATTTCAAATTAATTTCAATTTTGCCCAGAGCCCAAATCTTTTACAGAATAAAATTCTTTTCATTCATACTTCAAAGCACCATTATATGGTATGACAGCTTGCTGTATTTGAGATAATTTAATAATAAGAATGAGTTGTGGATATTGAACTGCTTTGGAACTGAATGGGTTTTCTTTTTGAAATTTTATCAAGAATTATAACGCACAGAACCTTTGTTCCTTCAGATTTTAATAAGATCTAGAAATGAAAGGAAAAGAGTACAACAGATTCTTGCTTGATGTTCTGCAGCATTTTAGGGGAGATCAAAATTTAAAATTTGAGCCATCCCACATGCTGGAAATGGTTTTAACTCTGAATTCTGGACTCTTTTGAGGATTTCGATCTCTTACATGCTTGCATAATCTTTTGCACAAGGACATTAAGTAGCCGTGGCAGAGCAAGAAAAGAGATGTTATATTTTCCCATTGTTGTTTGATTACTCTCGAGCTTAATCATTGCTTTTTAATCTTGGAATACTGCTTAACCAATTTATTTAAATCTATGTTTTTTCTTGTTTCAGGGATCGCCACAATATAGCAACAAAGAGAGACAAGATCTTATGTATTTTTATGATTGTGCTTGCTGTCTTCTCCAATGCTGTGGCCATATACAGTGATGCCTATGCCTTGATCAAAAAGAATCCGTCACCTCGTGAATGATCTGCCTTGCTATTCAATGTTGGTGAATGAACTCGGATATTTCCGTTTTTTTCAGTGGAAGAAACCCCATTGGCAGAAGAATCATTTCTGGTTGAAAGAGCAAGTCTTATTGTAAGATGCAACTTGAACTTTAATAAGAACACTGGAATCAATGTATAAAATCAATTTACTAGAGTTGTGAGGTCTATCCTCTTGGACCTCACAGTATGTGCATTAGTGTGCTGCTTTGTGCTTGAACTTGCTGTGTTGATGAAAAATGAAACTGTAGAAGTAAAGATATAGATGTGTGACTTTGCTTTCATGTTTGATTTTTGAGTCTTTTGTATGGTATAACATTAATAACTGAAAATTTGTCAAGGTGACAAAAGTTTATGCTATTTTGTCAAATTCTTCACACAGGCACTTAGCAATTGTTAATGCAGGGCGGGGAGTGGATAATCGCACGTGAAATTTGAATTTTGGTTTACTTTCGTTGAATGAAACTGGTAGAAGAGGCGGAGAAGGAGAAGAGAACCTTGCCACGTTTATGCACCATCAATACTCATGGAATTTGCCGAAAGATCTTGAACCGCGTCCTGCTTAATTCACTCTTGTTTGGATATATATATATATATATAACCTTGAAATTTCTTTCAAACGAATGGAAACAATTTGAGATATGCGAAGAGTAGCATTGAAATTTGAACTGATCAATCCTGAGTTGGGAAATTAAATAGAAGCATTATTTTCACACGAAGGGCCAAAAACATGCAGAGAGCAGTAAAACAATGTGATACCTATTCATTGTAATCGTATAATAACATCAACTATAACAATTAATTTATGATAACTATCCATCACTAATATATGATGACTATTTACAAACCAGTCCCCAGTCTTTACCTAGTGCTGCCTTAATACACATTTGTAGTTAATAATTGCAAGGACCATTAATTATGGGTTTCCAATATTTGTTACAAAAGGCACCAGCCTCCTATAATCCCTTCTCCTCCCTAATGCACAGTTGTCGAGGACTCGCCCAAGGATAAGGCGTGTGTTCTGCAAAGCCACCTCTCTAGATGGAATCCCTGATTCAGCTCCTCCTTGTGTTGCCGGCATGTAACCTGTACCAAATCCTGCGCCTGTTGAATATTGCAAGGGTCCACTCCGAGCCTTAAATGAGGTCTGAGGAGCTAGCAGTTTTTCATCAGCTCCGTTCTCATATGACCCTAGCTCAGGTGGATGAGAACCTGTGAACGAACTGCAGCTCTGCAAAAGGGCTTCCAATACACTGAGTGCCTCAAAACACAAAGAACTTTCCACCAGCTGGGACACAATTGCATACATTCGTGGACTTTGAGAAGCATCCATGGGAGTGTGCTGGAGCAGTGCCTTGAGGATTAACAGTATCACACGCTGATACTCAACTGGTCCTTTCTCCAGTAGCTGAAGCAAGTGTCCAAAAGCCAGAGCAGAATGTTTTGGAAACCACACATTGCACATTAGAGGGGAGACGCAAGCAAGAAGGGTATCAATGCTTTTGATCTCTCCATGGGCATAAATTGCAAACACTGTGGCTAATTCATCCAACGATTTCGCTCGACACCAAAGTGCAATGTTGTTAGCAACAGAGCAAGCCTTCTGCCATTGTTGCTGGAGTGGTGAAGCAGGTACTGCCACTGTTTCCTTGCTGAGCTGCAAGCAGAGCCAGGGAAGTAAGCCTGTTACGTGCATGAGGAGCCTTGTCTCTCCATCTCCAAATATAGAGTCACACGAATGCACTGTGATCCGTGACAGGACCTCAATGGAGACTCCATGACTAACAGTAGACATGAGCCCTTTAAGCACTAGAGGCTGCAACCCTTCAAATGCTGGCAGATTCCCACTGGGTGATGCCAGCGATTCAATTCGTTGAAAATCCTCGATGAGACCACCAGTATTGAGCTCGTCATGCGGCATGCTTGAAAGAAGCACATTTTCTGTTGTTTGGTCCTCGAATGATAAACGATCAATCACACGTGAGAAGAGCTCAAGCACCTGGCAGTAGACATGAACAAAATCTGTGTGCATCATGGCTACACAACCCCAAAAGAGTTGGGGGTAAAGTATCACTTTTTCTGGCTCCATATTTTCCACCATTACTTGCAGTGTCAATAGAATTTCCATGATGAATCCCAAAACTGGAGGTGCTGGGTTTCCTAGGCACCTATGGAGGCATCTGAGGAGCGATACACATGTGTCACTCGTAACACTAGGCCGCAATGCACGATAGATCTGGTGTGAGCGGCATGCAAGGTGTCTTGACGTGCACTCCATAGCCCAATTGAGTGCCTCAGCACCCCAAGTCTCCCGGAGATCTCCTTGGAAGAAGATAGCATCAACCATACTCTGAACGAGTGCAGACAGGAGTGCAGCACTTGGAAGTTCAGATCTCACAACTGTGGGGTCCTCATTTTCCCACATCATGCTCCCGCGCTTTGACTGGACGTACTTGATTAGGCTCACAACTTGTTGCTTGTTCTCTCCATCACTGTTTTCCACCTCATACAATTCCAAGTGTCGGCCCGCAAGTGAGTATAACAGATTAACAAGCAAATTCTGGCAGTGCTCTAGCACAATATCTTCTGAACTATCCATCGAAACAAATGTGACATGAAAAAGAAGAGGCAAATGTTCACGAAAATCTTCATCATTCTCATATGCAATTTCTGCCAGTAGAATCAATGCTATATCTGCATGAGTGAGTGAATGTTGTTGATGCCCCTGCAAGGCTGACTGGAGTTCTTTGGCACTGACACCAAGCATGCCAACTCCAGTATGCAATCCATCTTCACCAGAGTTTGGCGTGTCAATTAGGTAATCCCCACTATCCCGAGAAACATGCCGACTCCGCAAACTTCCCGTTGAACTTCTAACCCCCATTAAAGGACCTGACATGTTCACCAAAGCTGGAAGAAGCTGGCCTGACCTTCCTGCAGTTACAGGAACAATGTTCAATTCAGGTGGCATTGGACTTAGAGGTCCTGAGACACTTCGTCCTGTCACACCAGCTGTTCGCCAGCTCAGACTTCCACTAGTATTCCTGAGGGGCCCATCAAGGGAACCTCGAACGAGTAATGGTGACATATGTGGCTGGGTGTCCACAACAGTTGAAATTTGGGCCGCTGCAGGCCCCTGAGAGAATTCCAACACAAAATTTCCATTTGCTTCACTCTTACTTGCACTTGGCACAACTGGTTCAATGCTATCTTCTAGCATCCGCTGAGCCAATTGGTAAACTAGGTGATCAATTGTGCATTGTGGACATATTCGTGCCAAATATAGACTCACCCGCTTTGCGACAGAGAAATATGTGGCAAATGCACCACTTATTTCAGCAGATGCATTGGAATCACAATCTTCAATCCCTTTTGTTATTAAGAAATCCAAAACTGGACTAATATTTCTGGGCTTGCTAGCAATTGTACTCCATAGTTTTTCAATTTCATCAGGGAACTGATCCCCATGTCGCCATGTCACATAGTAAAGGCTCTTCAATAATCTTTCACTCCAACCTGAGTCCTTGAGTTTCCAGAAGTTGAGGTTCTCAATCCATGGAGCCATGCAGGTTAAGACCTGATGTTGTGCTATTATATCAACAGCATCAAGTTGCCTCTGCATGATCTCCTCGCAGAGGAGCTGGCTTAATTCAGGATGATCTTTGGCAAGTTTGCAAGAGAGCTTATATTGGAATTGTTGGTAGGAATCGGGGAGGTTACCAACAACAGCAGCTCGATAGCTTCCTGAACCCTCAATGCCATCCTCAGCCCACTCACGGACAGAAAGTGTCTCTAGCATCTGAAGGGCATCATCACGGATTTGTCTATTTGGGTCCACGACTTTGTAGAGGATGAGGCTCAAGAGCCTCTGTATCTCACATTTTGGTATCTCTTGGCACATGTACACCTCAGCCAGCACACTGAAGTAGCCATCAGCTATAGCAGCATCAGAGTAATAGCACTGGACAGAATTTTTAGGTTAATTAGTTTCTTATGATGGAAAACATTATGTGTGATTTTGACATAATATTAAACCAAAAAGTAAGCTGGCTCAGTGCTGCATTATTTATGTCCAATGTTTCATATGTAGATGGGCCTAGAGAGAAAAAGCTAGCCAACCTTAAACATACCAAAGGTATTTTGCCCTTGAGCCATCTCATTTTTTTTAATCCCAATCAAGATTTTCTCCATATTCTTACTTAGACATGCAAAATAGTAACTTAACTTCATAAATCCAGGCATGTAGTTCCATTGAGATGTGATACACTGTACATGCACAACAACGCACAACAATAACAGGGAAAAGGAGTACCTGATCAATACAAGCTGGAAAGAGGTCCAAGTTTGTGAGGAGAAGGTTCTTTAAAGCCAATTTTGCTAAAGAGACACGATGGTGGCCACCTCTGTGTCTATCACGACCAGCAGCTCCACGCCCACCTTCTACATACTTGGAATAAGAAGGAGTTGATGGAGAGTAACCAAACGGAGCCCTAGGTGCAGGATCATTGAACAAACTGTTGATCCAAGATATCACTCGACCACTCATTTTTCTTGCATTGTCATCAAAACAGGGCCCATGTAAAAGTGAAGCCATAGCATTCATGGAAGCCCACTGGATTGCCTCAATTTGTTCGTTCAGTTCTTTATCAAATGAAATTTTGTCTATTGAATCTTTTGATCGGTTGTGCTGTGAAGCTTTATAGCGTTCAACTTCACGTCGGTAATCACCAACTCCATCCTGCCCCCATGCATTGCCAGTGTCATCACTCCAAGAAAGAAGAAGATCAAAGAGTCGCTTTCTAGCTCTGAGGTCAAACTTCTCGGATCTTGTCTTAACAAATTCAGGTGAAAGAGATCTCAGAACAGAAGCAAGTGCATAACGGAGAGGCTGCATTTCTTGAAAGTTCTCATTGGGTGCTGATAAGATCTGCCTTGTCGTTTCATCAATGAACCTGAGATAATGAAAATGGAAAATTCGTTTATGACTCAGCATGCCAGGCCAGATATTCTCAGCAACAGTCCGGTATATATTTGCAATGTGGATGCGCAGTTCCTCACGGCGAGGTTTTTGACTCTGCACCTTATGGGAATAAGATATCTGATTAGTAGTAGGACTGAATTCCAAAATTTAAGAAATGAACAAAATTTGAATTATATGGCACGAAGGAGATGTTTTCTGCCATTATACATTAGGTGACAATTAGATTTTAGCATGGCAGCAACAAGATAGGTTCCGAACCTAGCCTATGGTAACACTCAGATGGGGCTAGACCACCTAGGCTCAAGGTAATCATTTAAAAGCAAGAGAAACGATAACTCTAATCCACTATCAATCATTAAGTGCAATGCTCAAATGACATCTTAGCTTGTGATGCAATTACAATTTCCAGTAACAAGAAATCAAGAACAGAATGTAAGAATTAAACAGAATAGGTAGAACAATAGATGGAGAATTTCAGAGGAGAGATTACAAATCAAATGAACAGAATGAAAGGAAAGAGAAATTACAGAAAGGAACCAGAGAGGAGAACAGAGAAGATTCAATGCCAAAACAGAACTATCTTCCCACATTTCTCTCACGATTTATACAGTAACTGTGGGAAATATGCCTCCAATTTAGGAGGAACAGAATCTTCCTATTTAGGAAGAAATCAATCACTGTAATCACAGAAAATCAGGAGGAAATATGGCCTTAATTTCCTATTCTAATTTTCCTAAATTGTGGCTTCCTATTCTGGTGTATATGGCTACTATAAAAGGAACCTGTTGCTGCTGTATTTGGTGTGACAGAAATAAAGAGTTGAAACCTTTCTCCTGTGGATGTAAGTCTTCATGACCGAACCACTTTAAACTTTGTGTTTTTTTTCTTCTTATATTTCTGTTTTATGGTATCGAGTCAAGTTATCCTCTAGCCAAAGAAACAAACCAACTCTAGCCAACCTTAGCTGAATAGATGGCAAGCTCCACTCCACCCCAACTACAAAGGAATCAATTAGGATCCCTACTGTTGTCAACCCACAAACCTCAATTTTACCTAATCCTACCGATAACTTCTCAATCCAAATCACCTCTCACAAACTAAATGGGAGTAATTTTAGGGAGTGGTATCAATCGGTTTTACTAGTGATCAAGGGCAGAGAGAAGATGGGATATCTAACTGGGGCAAAGAAGGCACCACCATTAGAGTCAGCTAATTATGGAGTTTGGGAGGCTGAAAATTCTACAGTCATGGCATGGCTAATCAACTATATGGACAAAAAACTCGGACGGCTGTATTTATTCTACCAAACAGCAAAGGAAATATGGGATTCAGTGAGAGATATGTATTCAGATTTGGAGAACATATCACAAAGTTTTGAGGTTCGTTCCAAAATTCGAAATATTCGCCAAGGTACATCATCTCGTTACTGAATATTTCAATAACATATCAAAATTGTGGCAAGAAATTGATATGTTTCACAATATATCTTGGAGATGTGCTGATGATAGGGTGCTTTATAGCAAAATGCTAGAAAAGGATCGAATTTTTGATTTTTTGCAAGGTTTAAATCAGGAACTAGATGATGACAGGGGACGAATACTTGGTATAAAACCATTACCCTCATTAAAGGAGGTCCTTGCTGAAGTTCGACGCGAAGAAACAACGAGGAAGGTGATGTCATTGTCATTGCCATTGCCGAATACAACAAGTAGAGGCGATAGTGCGAGGATCAGCTTTGGTGATAAACCGAAGCGAGGAAAACGAGTTCAAAGGGGGCTGATTTTGGGAAGGATAAGCGGGTATGGTGTGAGCATTGTAAAAGACCATATCACACTAAGGATACATGCTGAAATCTCCATGGACAACCTTAAGATTGGAAGCCGAGAAATCGGAGGAAGAAGGTTGCCTATTCAGCTGAAACAACAATAGATGCAAACCCTCAACCGTTTACAACTAAACAATTAGAAATCCTTAAGAAATTGATGAAATCTAATACGGAAGAATACAAATCTACTCCCTCTAATTCCACTAGTTCCTCAACCCTAACAACTCACAAATGTACTGTTCTTTTTTTATCATACAAGACAAAATATGATTCTTGAATAGTAAATACCGGGGCTTCTAACCATATGATAGGTTCAAATGTAAGAATGAGCAATTATAAACCATGTAGAGAGAATTTTGGAGTTACGAGTGACGGATGAAACTATATGTACAACAAAAGGGAAGGGAGACTTGGACATAAATGGACTGAATTTAAAATCTATGCTTTATGTTCCAGAATTAAAATGTAATTTATTGTCGGTAGGTAAAATTACTAAGGACTCGAATTGCTCGTGACATTTTCTCCCTCATTGTGAATTTCGGGATTTGTCATCGGGGAGGACGATTGGGAATGCCGAGGAGCGATATGGTCTCTATTATGTGTCGTGTGTTGGATCCTCCTCAAGCTCTAGGTCATCTAGTGTTTTGCCCTCATTTTTCAATTCGATGTTCAATTATTGCACAATAGATTGGGTCATCCTAGTTTTCATTATTTGAAACATTTATATCCCCATTTATTTTTCAATAAAAATCCTTCATGTTTTCAATGTGAACATTGCATCCTTGCCAAACAAACACATGCATCCTATCCTCCCCCATCCTTACAAACCTTCAAGTCCATTCCATTTAATTCATAGTGATGTATGAGGACCATCACGGAAACAAAATTTTACAGGGGAACGATGGTTTGTTACTTTTATTAATGATCATACCCGTGTATGCTAGGCCTATCTAATAAAGGAAAAATCGAAGTAACAAGAATTTTCAAGCAATTTCATAAGCTTGTTACAAATGTCTTTCAATCATCCATTCTTATATTTTGAACGGACAATGCAAAAGAATATTACTCTAATGAAACAAAATTTTACAGGGGAACGATGGTTTGTTACTTTTATTGATGATCATACCCGTGTATGCTAGGCCTATCTAATAAAGGAAAAATCAGAAGTAACAAGAATTTTCAAGCAATTTCATAAGCTTGTTACAAATGTCTTTCAATCATCCATTCTTATATTTTGAACGGACAATGCAAAAGAATATTACTCTAATGAACTAAATGACTCTCTCCAAGAAAATGGGATTATTCATCAAAGTTCATGTGTGTCCGGCCCACAACAAAATGGAATTGTTGAAAGAAAAAATCGTCATCTTTTAGAAGTGGCTAGATCCATCATGTTTGCACTTCGAGTTCCAAATCACTTTTAGGGGGAAGCGAGTCCTTACGACTCGCATTCCTAATCAATCCTGTGCCTTCAAAAGTTCTCAAATACCAAACTCCCCATAGTATTTTACTATCCGTCTTCCCTACTTCACGGGTCCATAATACTCTTCAACCTCGAGTTTTTGGGTGTGTAGTATTTGTTCATAACCTTCAACCTAATCGAGGCAAACTAGATCCGAAAGCCCTAAAATGTATTTTCCTTGATTATTCTCCCACTCAAAAGGGTTATAAATGTTATCATCCACCTACCAAACGTGTCTTTATTTCTTGTGATATGACCTTTCTAGAGAATCAGCCTTTCTACTCCCAAGTTTATCTCCAAGGGGAGAATGATACTCAAGGAGATAAACATTGGGATCCCACCTTTCCAAGTACTTTTTCCTTCAATTACACACCCAAGTGGTTTCTATATCCGAGCCCAATGGAACCAGTCAAGGGAGAGGGTCCGATCTTGGTCAAGTGAGAGAGTTGAATAATGTTGATCCAAAACCGATTCAAGTCTATTCTAGGAGACCACGAGCTCCAATGCAAACCCATGAGTTTGAACCAAGTAGCAAATTCTAGCAACAAGCAATGATGAAGAGGATGGGTCGGGTGGTGAACAACCTTATGATTTGGATCTTCCAATTGCTTTAAGGAGAGGAGTAAGAACTCGTACTAAAGCTCCTAAATATCCTATCTCAAATTATGTTGCATACTCTAAGCTTTCGGGAGATTTTAAGGTTTTCATTGCCCATATTGATGAAATACAAGTTCCTAAAAATATTGATGAGGGTCTTCGAAATCCTAATTGGAAAGAAGCTATGTTGGAAGAAATGAAGGCATTAACGGACAATGATACTTAGGAAATGGTGCAACTACCGAAGGGAAGAAAGTAGTTGGAAGTAAATGGGTTTTTACAAGTAAAATATAAACCCGATGGAAAAGTGGATCGGTTGAAGGCAAGACTCGTAGCACAAGGCTTCACTCGGACTTATGGAATTGATTATGAAGAAACTTTTGCACCAATTGCCAAACTCAACACTATCCGAATCCTATTGTCTATTGCCGCCAATCTGGATTGGAGATTACATCAATTAGATGTGAAAAATGCATTCCTTAATAGTACACTCGGAGGAAGAGGTGTATATGAAGTATCCCTCGAGATTCGAGAAAGAAGAAGTAAACAAGGTCCGTAAATTGAAAAAATCATTGTATGGCTAGAAACAATCTCCTAGAGCTTGGTTTACAAGATTTAGCACTCGTGATGAAGAGTCTTGGGTACCACCAAGGACAAGCGAGATCACACATTATTTGTGAAGACAAGTGAGTCGGGTAAACAAGCTATACTCATTGTATATATTGATGATATAGTGATCACAGGTGATGATGAAGTGGAAATTAGCAATCTCAAGAAAAGACTTCAGGCAGAGTTCATAGTAATAGATCTAGGAGAACCGAAATACTTTTTAGGGATGGAAGTCGCAAGGAGTCGCAAAGGAATTTTCATCTCAAAAAGGAAGTACACACTAGATTTACTCAAGAAGACAGGAAAGCTTGGTTGTAAGCCTTCTAGTACACCTTTGGAAAGACACTCGGAACCACAAAGTATCGGATGATGATCTTCCGGTAAACAAAGAAAGGTATCAACACTTAATAGGAAAACCGATTTATTTATCACTCACAAGACCGGACATTGCCTTTAGTGTAAGTATAATAAGTCAATTTATGCATGCTCCCACTAAGAGGCATGAGGAAGCAGACGAATCAGATTCCGAGATACTTGAAGGGGAGTCCCGACAAAGGTCCGTTGTTTAAGAAAAATGAAGCTAGAGATGTTGGTTTTCGGATGCAGATTGGGCAGGAGGTATTGATGATAAAAAAGTCAACAACTCGGATATTGTACCAAGGTATGGGGAAATTTAGTCACTTGGAGAAGCAAGAAACAATCTGTGGTGGCTCGGAGTAGTGCGAAGCCGAGTATAAAGCTATAGCTCAAGGAACCCGTGAACTTATTCGGATTCATAAGTTAATGACAGACCTAAACATGCCGAAACAAGCCCTATGAAGTCTGTTCGGTGAAAGCAAATCAGCTATCGGTATTGTTCACAATCCGAGTCCAACATGATCGAATGAAACATGTGAGGATTGATAGAAATTTTATCAAAAATGAGATAGACAATGAAGCTATAATTCTGCCCTATGTCCCTACCAAATCTCAAGAAGCCGATATTCGACAAAAATTCTTCGAAATCAAGTTTTGATATTCGCCTTAGCAAGCCGGGAATGACCAATGTCTATTCACCAGCTTGAGGGAGAGTGGGAAATATGCCTCCAATTTAGGAGGAACAAAATCTTCCTATGAAGAAATCAATCATCGTAATCACGGAAAATCAAGAGGAAATATAGCCCTAATTTCCTATTCTAATTTTCATAAATTGTGGCTTCCTATTTTGGTGTATATGGCTATTATAAAAGGAACTCCGTCGCTATCGTATTTGGTGTGACAAAAATAAAGAGATGAAACCTTTCTCCTGTGGATGTAGGTCTTCATGACCGAACCACGTTAAACTTTGTATTTTTTTCTTCTTATATTTCTGTTTTAGTAACTATTATTAATAATCTAACTAACTAACGAGTCTAAGTGGATTAACTAAATTTCACATCATCCGTTACATGGCTAATTAATCTTCTCACGTGCTATCATTTATTATTTCTCACGTGCCGGCCTTCAAACAATTCCCAGCAACTCAAGGCAATCTTCAACCCAATTCCTAGCAACCGTTAGGCATCAATCTGGACAATTAGAAGGTTGCTTGGTCGCTAGAATTGCTTGAAAATGGCTTGAAGATAGCCCGGGAATTGGGTGGGTTGAAGATTGCCTTGAGTTGCCGAGAATTATTTGAAGGCCGACACGTGAGAAACAATAAGCGATAGCACGTGGAAAGATTGGTTAGCCATGTAACGAGTCGACGTGGAATTCAATTAATCCACGTAGATTGTTAATTAGTTAAATTGTTAGTAACGAGTTACTTTATAAATCATAAGAGAAATGTGGAAAGATTATTATGTTTTGGCATTGAATCTTCTTTGCTCTCCTCTCTCGTAATCTCTCTTTCTTTTCATTTGATTTGTAATCTCTCCTCCGAAATTCTCCATCTTCTCGCAATTATTCTTCCTATTCTATTTACTTCTTGCATTCTATTCTTGATTTCTTGTTATCGAAAATTAAAATCACATCAAGTGGTATCAAAGCATCATCCTCGCACCCATGGAACACAAACAAACAAATTCATCATGATGGCAAGCAGAATCCGAACTAAAGAAAATGAAGAAATTAGTTGTTCACTTATCTAAGGTAATTTTTGAGCTTGTTGATAAATGTAATCATGTGTTTGAACGACATCGAATTCCAACTATTACTTATCTAGAATCGGATAATAATATTGGGGCAATAATAGAGAGTGAAGTTGAATTTGGTTGTCTAGACGCTAAATACAATACTCAAATGAATAAAAATGCATATAACGCGAGTTAGTGACATGCTCGATAAAGGAAGATAATCATCCAACCGACCTAGAGGACGATGATTTAGGAGATATGTGGAAAGAGATGGCTTTTGCATTGAGATGTTCCAAGAACTTTTCCGCAAATTCCTATACCGATGAACTTACGAAAAAGATGATTTTTGCTTGTAAGCCTAAAAATATCAAATACTCGATTGATCTCATTCAATTTAGAGTTAAACTTTTCGAAAATACTCGATGGAGACCGAAATTTCTATTTATCCGAAACATAGAAAAGCAAGTTGCAACAACTCGTCGACCGATGATCCAAGAGGTTTAATACTAAAATTACTTAGCTTTGATCCCGAAGGTTTGGACTTAAAAGAAATATGTTAATGTAATTTCAACCTTTAGGATAAGGTTGTTTAAGATGAGAAGTATTGTTAGGCATCAATCCTGGATAATTTGAAGGTTGCTTAGTCGTTGGATAATTGTTGAGAAATGACTTGAAGATTGCCTTAGGTTGTCGATGCGATTCCAATTTTTAGAACAAGAAATCAAGAACATAATAGAAAGAACAATTGTAGAAGAGGAAGAATTTCGGAGAAAAGATTACAAATCAAATGAACAGAATGAAAAAAGAAATTACAAAGAGGAAGCGAGAGAGAAATCAAAGAGGAATCGGAGAGGAGAACAGAGAAGATTCAATGCCAAAATAGAATGATCTCACATTTCTCTCATGATTTATACAGAGAATCGTTACTAACAATCTAACTAACTAACGATCTATGTGGATTAACCGAATTTCACGTTAACCGTTGCTCGCTAACTAATCTTCCCACATGCTATCACTTATTGTTTCTTACGTTTCATCCTTCAAACAATTCTCGGCATCTTAAGGCAATCTTCAACCCAATTCTCAACAACCCAAGGCAACCTATAAGCCATTTCCCAACAATTACCTAGCGACCAAGCAACTTTCAAACTGTCTAGATTGATGCCTAAAAATACTTTCCCTCTTAAACAATATTGTCCTCAAGATTGAAATTACATCGACATACTTCTATTAAGCGCAAACCTCCAGGCTCAAAGCTAAGTAATTTTAGTATTAAGCCCCTAGATCATCGATCGACAGGTTGTGACTTTCTTTCCTATGCTTCGGAGGAGCAAAAATTTCAATCCCCATGAAAGTATTTTCGAAAAGTTTAACTCCAAATTAAATGAGATCAGCTAGGTCTCTGTCTTTAATATTTTTAAGCTTACGAGCAAAAATCATCTTCTTCATAAGTTTATCGATGATAGAAGAATTTACGAAAAAGTCCTTGGAACTTTCCAATGCAAAAGCCATTTCTTTTCACATATCTCCTAAATCATCATCCTCTAGGTCGATTGAATGATTATCTTCTTTTATCAACATGTCACTAATCGCATCATATGCACTTTTATTCATCCGAGTATTGTATTCAACGTCCGGACAACTAACTTTCACTTCACTCTCCATTGTTGCCTCAATATTGTTATTTGATTCTTGATGAGTAATAGTTGGAACTCGATGCCGTTCAAACACATGATTACATTTATCAATAAGCTCGAAAATTATCTTAGACGGATGAGCAATTGATTCCTTCATTTTCTATAGTTCGGATCCTACTATAGCCATGATGAATCTGTTTTTTTGTGTTTCACGATTGCAAGGATAATGCTTTGATACCACTTAATGCGATTTCAATTTTCGATAACAAGAAATCAATAAAATACAAGAATTGAACAAAATAGGAAAAACAATTGCATAAAAGGGAGAATTTCAAAGGAGAGATTACAAATCAAATGAACGAGAATGAAAAGAAAGAGAAATTATAGAGAGGAAGCGAGAGAGAAATCAAAGAGGAACCAAAGAGAAGAACAAAGAAGATTCAATGCCAAAACAGAATGATCTTTCCACGTTTCTCTCATGATTATACAATAACCGTTACTAACAATCTATCTAACTAACGATCTACGTGGATTAACCGAATTTCATATTAGTCGTTACATGGCTAATTAATCTTCCCATGTGCTATCACTTATTGTTTCTCACATGCTAGCCTTCAAACTATTCCAAGCAACTCAAGGCAATCTTCAACCCAATTCCCAGCAACACAAGACAATCTTCAAGTCATTTTCCAGCAATTACCCAAGCATTGATGGCAAATTGAGAACAAACTTGAAATTAACTGGAAACGGGCTGGTCCAAAAACGAAGTAATCCAAAAACGAAGTAAAGAAGCGTAGTTCAAAAGTTTTGGTTAAGCAACAACAACCGAGACTCAATACCAAACTAGTCGGGATTGGCTATATAGATCCTTTCACGCCATTCTACACGATAGTTCAAATGGTTGTTTTATTTTTCAAAATCAACATTCTTGGGATGAAAATAAATGCTTTTAAGGATGATAATAAACAAAAGGCCAAAGCTTCAGATGGAGAATGGAGGACATAAGATACTCGGAGGAGCACACAAAGGGAAGCTATGTTAACTTTAACAGATAGAAAACCCAAAAGGTGACAGCACTTTGATTTATGCAACTTATCAAAGAACATCAAACACTGGAAACAGACAGAGGATTACTAATTTAAATAGCTACTCTCCTATGTCCATAAGCTCACAAGGAATATGAGTTTAGTCAAGATAATTGAAGATGCTTGTTCCAAGGCACAAAATTGCTTGGATTTTGTCCCTTTTGGTATATTGACTCATCTAAGGCTAACATGAAATCAACAAACTCTTCCCAACAATTTGTGATACAAATATTCAATGAATTGCAGTAGGATTATGTGAACTTACAAACAACGGCCATGAAAAGAAAACTCATCACGTTTAATGCATTTGTATATATTCATACCTTCCATTTAGGTTTTCCCTCGGTTTCCGAAGATATCTCATCAATAAAAGATGAAAGCTCAGCAAACATTGTCTCACAAGCTTCCAGATGGGAGTGGCCAAGAGCCATGGTTGCTGCATGCTGTTGAAAGAACCAATTTGAGCATTAGCAAAAAATAGAAGCACTCAGGCACAAAAGTTACAATATTGAAGTCTTCTAATTGGTTATTTATTCTTCGTAGTGTGCATGTCTACTTGTGGACAAAACCACCCACTTTTCCCATTGTTGATCAATTAACATCTTCAACCTTTGCAACAATAAAGGCATGTAATGACCTAGTTTGGAACAACGCAAGTTTAGCACATTCAGCAACATGCTAACAAATACCAGTTCAATAGAAGAGAGCAGCAGGCTCAGCTCTCTTCAGGATCCACAAAGGCATAAAATTACAAGCACTCGACATATATTGCGATGATACATGTTTTATCCATTTCTTATAACGCTCAAGACTCAAGAGACCTAACACAAATATTGGGTAACAATGCCTTGTGACTTGTGAGATCTCCTCAGTGTTCATCTCATCAAGAACTGCAGTCCAAAAACAATCCTCAATCCTAAAGGGCACTTCAGTTTTCCGGATGCAACGTGCCAAAAAAAAAAAAAAAAAAAAGGATTTGCAGACTAGGAAAGATATGTTTAAAACAAATATTCATACCAAAAATATCCAGAAACCCAAAGTCCACATCCGTTTTACCCTATTCTTAAATTGGAAGAACTTAGAATCTAGACTGTGAAAGAAGATCACGAGTTATCTTCTCATTAGGTTTCTGAAAGATAATGGCTAGAGATGGAGGTATCATGCAATCTGCAAAAACAACAAAGGTAGAAGTACAGTAGAAGGCTTCCCCGCCCTCAAAGTCCTCCTGTAAATGAATGTGAAAACCATTACCAGCTTTTATTTCCATAAAGGGGGCATGATGAGAAACAAGTGATGTTTACCCCTGGACCTGTATCAGTGACATGCTCTGGCCTTCGCATGTGAACCATTAGAATGAAGGCCATACCCATGTTCATTGCAAATAACCTATTGCAAAATGAGTCATGTTCTTATAAAATAAGCACAAATTGCCCATAAAGGCAATGTCTTTTTTAAAACAAGCAACCAGTGCCAAGTCTCCCTTGATCTTACACATATAACAAACCTCCCATTTTTCCCCTTATCCCCCTACTCTACACCATAAAAACCTCATAAACTCTATCCATATAGCAACCACAAGATGGATCCTAAACAAGGAAAAATAAAAGAGAGAATTGCACAAGGATGATCTGCCCTGCTAACAATAAGAGGTGTTCCACTTACATATATTTAGAAACTCAACCAGGACATTGAAAATCAACAGATCACAGATTGCCATCAAGGTATACAGTCCTTAAATAAGAATCACCTCAAAATTTGTTAAGATATGCATGCTTTATATCAAGGTTATATATTTGATTCGTTACAACATACTCTCACCATAGAACAACTAAGTAAATAAAATGAGACCGGTTCTCTAATTTGGATACCATTTACCCTAAGTGTCACATTTTTTATCCTTCAACTTCCTCTGTGTTAAGTCTAGATCTTTCAACTGCTAAAAGTTCACTAACAACCTAACACAAACAGATTGCTAAAAGGAACATGAGTACATTTTGCAAACATGCAGTTATGGGACTCCCCCAAAATTTAAGCCATGGGCTGTCAAAGAGGTTTCTAGCTTGACTTTGACAGAAAGAGGAGAATAAGAACACAAGTACATTTGGTAAACACGCGAGTTGTTTATTTCAAGAATTGGCTGGAGGGAACCAGCTGACTTTTTTTCCCATTTAAACTAGGAAATTTAACTAGAAATGAACAGGTGGATGAACCTGCGAATTACTCCTGAATAAATTAAGAAATCATCTTTAAGAACCATCGCATTTCATGATTCATTGGTAAATAGATTTAGACTTTCTATCAACCAATAATGTGGGACCATTAGGATGGTTAAAGCTAAACTGTTTGAAGTCCAGACAGAGCATGACATTACCATCCAGATGGAGCACATAAAGTTTGCCTTAGTTCATGGTGCTTTACAGGACTCCCACCAAAATTTAATCCATGGGCTGTAAAAGAGGTTTCTAGCTTGACTTTCACAGAAAGGGGAGAATAGGAGCACGAGTACATTTGGCACACGCAAATAGTTTATTTCAAGAATAGGCTGTAGGGAACCAGCTGGCTTTTTTCCTTGTCTTTTCCTGTTTAAACTAGGAAATTTAACTAGAAAAGAAAAGGTGCATGATCCTGCAAATTACTCCTGAATACACACACACACACACATATATAAGAGCCATCGCATTTCATGATTCATATAGATTCAGATTTTCACTCAACCAATAATGTGGGACCATTAACGTGGTTAAAGCTGAACTGTTTGAAGTCCAGACAGAGCATGACATTACTATCCAGATGGAGCACATAAAAAGTTTGCCTTAGTTCATGGTGCTTTTTCTTTCCTTCCCAAAGAGATATTAAGATCCACTTAGAACAGGGGTTAGATGGCGAAACTGAAAGTAACCATCTTGTATGAAGCCTAAGAAGACAAAGTCAATGCACCCTTTCCTCACTTCAACACTCACTTTGAGATAGTGGCTCACTACAAACTTACCCAAAATAAAAGAAGCATAGGCATAAAAATCCATAGAACTAGAAGAATTGCTAGTAACATGTACTTACTATGTTTGTTTCAGATCCAGATTTTAAAGAGGGGAAAATAAGATGGTAGAGATCTTTGGTAGCTGTTAATACACCAGATTCTCTACTATCTGGTGGGCACGAACAGGCAAACATTGCATACATGAGCCACTGATCCAGTTTGTTGTCTGCATCTTGTGACTGATGAGCCTTCCCACCTAACTCAACGGGAGTAATATGAGCAAGGCGTTGGACAACCTCCAACCTGCCAGTAGAAATTGAGTAAAAACCAACATCAACCATATCTATTTCCTTTCGAAATTGACAGACATGAAGAACTAGATTAAACATTACAAGGCATGTGAACAATGGCATTAAAAAAAAACCAGCATCATAACCAAGGTTCAATCCATTTCTTCAGCACTACAATTAAATAGTCATGTCTCGATTCAAATTAACATAGATTTGACAGGACAACCTAAAGATCTATGTTATACTTTTTGTGAAGTTGTACAAAGGTCAGAAGAACCTAACAAAGCCAACACACTCATACACAACCACAAACTATACACTGTTTCAGTTTAGTAAGCAAAAAACCTTATAGCTCAAAAGTCCAGCAAAGGGAATAGTGCATAAGGTTAGCAATTCTATGGTAAAAAAATATTGCTGGTAGTAGCCAAATGGACAAATGCCAGTAAAAGGGAATGTGACAAATCAAAATGTAATACTTGGAAAAAAACACCAGTGATGTCATCAATATATTAATCAAAATCTACTTACTTTGCATCCTGAACAGAGCTTGGGCACAGGTCAGCAGCATATTTGACAAGTTCACTAAGACACCGAGCCCACCTATTCTTATCAGGAGTCTCAAATATGATAGATTGAAGCGTCACTTCAGGAGGAATTGCATCAGATTCCCGTCTCATATCAAATGGGCGCCCGGTATCCCAATAACAGCTCTGAACAATGTCATCCTGTAATTTTCAAACCTCTAAGTTAAGAATATGACGAGGAAATTTACAATCAAAAGATTGCAACTTAGATGAAATTAAAAAACAAAAACAGAAAAATGTCAAAGATGGAGAACTACTAATTAGGATGTCTCACCCCATGTTCTTCAAGGACGTCAATTACAAATATTGGTTCCACTTCATTTCTTAAATTATGGTCCAGTTGCTCACGTAAGGTATGGTCTCGTAATGTACGGTCTCGTATGTCATTCCTTAATGCACGCACACAGCGCAACAACTCCAATGCTGTATGCCTAATCTGGCTGTCCACAGAACTAAGAAAGATCAAACCAACTGCATCTATCTCTGATGCACGAAAATCTATTACTTCTGATTGATGGAACGAAGACTTCTTAAATCCATCATTGTGCTGCACTCCACGCTTTGCATCATCAGCCTGGAATTCTAGATCATTGTTCAAACAAGTTCTCCAAAAACGCATTAGATCCAACAGGCGCCCCAATGATGTTTGAATGAGAAGGGGGAATTCATCAGGAAGCCGAAGGATAAAGTTGGCCATCCCTCTCATAACTGCAAATCGACGATGGGGAAGATAGCTAACAATCCGGTTCAATACTTGCACTGCTTCTTCACGGACACCAGGATCAATGCTTATGCCATGTTGAGGAATTATTTCAGTAATTCTATCAATTCGGCCAACTTCCTCTATCAGGTATGGTATACACTTCAGGACTGAACGGAAAAGATGTCCTTGAGACTTTTCCTTGGTTACAGCATCTGAGGAAGACAATTTATTTCGTATGAGCCATTTGCAACTAAGAATAGCATAACTGAAAGCAAAAAAAAAAAAAAAAAAAAAAAAACAAAAACTAGACAGTAACCACGAGAATAGAGTTTGAAAATGAAATGGATTTTGTGGTAAGTGGATAGGAAAGACCAGTGAAGAAAAAAAGGTACCATCATAATGCAGATCTACAATCCCTCCTAAACCCTACACAGTCAAGGGCACAGAAAATTTCATTACTCGTCAATTATGGTATTACTCACCTCTCTATTTGGTTGAAAGAAAAAGGATATTTGGATATGTTCACGTTTGTGACACTGGAAGCAGTAGTTCCCTGTTGCTTCTGGAAGCTCAATAACTCAACTAAATCTCATCCCCTACTAACTGAAGATGTCTAATCAAGGTCAGTTTGGGCTCAAATTTCAAGGGTTTTATTGACAATCATCCAAAACTCAGATTTCCACAAATCTAATTCAACAATAATTTAGCAGAAGCAAGGAATTATTGCAAGCAATCACTATGTTTTCAACCAATCCATGTTACTCCTACGGAAATTTATCCATCAAGCAAATTTTATGAGATTTTTGATAAAGGTGAGACTCAAACCTAAGACCTCGCCCCACTTGCTTACGCAAGAGTAACATGGAGCTACAAGCTCATTAGTTATCCATCAAGTGTCATGGCAAGTAAAAAACGCTATTGTAAATAAAAGGGCTGGAATAAAAATTATCCCCAAGATAAATCAACAGAATAAGATGCTAAAATACATTTCAAGTCCATTTATGACTTTATGAGCAAGCTGCTGAGAAGCACCACATATTCTACACTTTTAAAAAACAAATTACCGATTGTCGTCTTCGAGGAAGTCAAAAGAGCCTGACTGTAGATCCTATTACAAGATCTCAAAATTGATTCAATTGCAGCCTTCACTTTTGGAATGTAGTGTCCAATATCATGCCCTGTTTATGCAATAAAGTCAAAATGATGCTCGGTAGATAGTTCTTACCAAAATCCAACTGATGATATATACAGGTCATATGACCAGTTTTCAAGTACCTTTAAATATTTCCAAACCAATGTGCTCGCTTGAAGGTGACATAACTATGGCAAGCAAAGCACGGAGACCAATCACTTTCGCTTCACTTGGACTATCTTGCTTCAGCAATTCTAATATCATGTGGTTTATGGCAAAATCAAGGTTGTGTTCGGCAATAGTAACACAAAATTCAACAAGTTTGTCATGTTGGACATCCTGAGTAAGCATTCCTTTCTTCAGAACTGTTAAGAGTTGAGAAGTCACACTGTCTAAGTAGTCCCATATACGGTTCGGGGCCTGGCTAGCTGCATGAACACTCAAGTAAAACCTCAAAACTCGATGAAGACAGTCCAAGCCCATGAATCGGTGGTTCTTGTCCTGCACTAACAAAAGCAATAACAGAAATGAAAGCCCATAAAGATATGCCTCTGACCCCTCAACAAACCAACCTGATAAGACAGCAAGACATCAAAAAATAAATCAACCAGAGCTTCCCTTGCCTGCCCCCTAGACTTAATCTTTAATCAAACTTAAACTCACTCTTAAAAGCTTGTAGAGTTGCTCCATGTGAGGGCTCAAGTTATTGTGGAATACTTGAGGATCACCAAGACATAGAAGAAGAGTCACCAGAGGGTACCCAACCTAACACATTGAAAAGAGCACACATATGCATAAGCCAGCAGTACAGTTAGACAAAGACAGAGAGAGAAGACCTATTTTTGTGGAAGTTCCAAACACTTTAATAACAAAGAATGAAAACGAAAGGAGAGACATGAAAACAAGATGGCCATAAAACATAAAACAAAGTGCAAAAACAAACTCCATGAGAAAATTTTTACTGCAAATATAATAAAACAGAAGTGGCTAAACAGGCTAGAGATCTAAACCATACTGTAAAAGAAACTGGTAAAAAGTTCAAATATTGGGTTACAAGCCAAAAAAACACCTGAAACTCCAGATAAACAGAGGATATTCTCTGAAATCAACTTACAGCTATATGCTTGCTTTGTCTGTCCATCCAAGGTATAAGTACCCCCTTATTCGCCCAACAGCATCATACCACAAAGTAATTGCATTTTCTACACCTGATGGAGGCCATTGACCCTTTCCACCATCTGCTAGTGGAGCCAGAATGTTTGAAAGCATATTACACAGTGCATGGTGAAGCTCACTTTTGCGTTTAGGAGGAAAACGGCTAAGAGGATTTGCTTTCGCCACAAAGGAAGCTGATGCATTCAGTCCTCCCTCAGTCTTAACCTGTAAACTATCTCATTGTTAAAACCTTGTTTTACGCTATTCACCTCTGGAATAAGTGAATCACACACATACCCCAAGCTTCAGGTAGCGCATCCCATTAATGATACTGAGTGTTTCACTTCGAGCAACACTAGTGTCAATTCGACGTGTATTTAGTTCCATGAAAAAGCGTTCAGTTACAGAACTAAACCTGTGGAGGAAAACAGAAAGAACCAAAAAAATTGGACAAGGTTTTACTCAGGAAGTTAAGGGAGAAAAAAAGAAGGCAATGATGCTTGTTTCAAATATTACTAATGAGTTATTGGTGCTCTTGTTGGTTCAGCGATTGTTATTACAATTCTAATGTGTGCATCTCAAAGTTTCCAGTTACTCGCAACAACTACTTCCTCAATTGAATATTGTTTGTCAGTTTTTCTATTTCAACGGTCAAATGACATAGAAAAATGACAGAATTGAGAAGGCATATTTTCTCTGTTTTGTGTCATTTTCCTCTTTGGTCAACAAAAGCCCAACCTTCTCAGTCCAAGACAGGAAAGAGAAATGTCCATATTGAACTAGGAAAAGAGAAGGCATGAAAGACAAACCACTAGCAGGAGTGCCTGGAAAACAACAAAAAGGCAGGCATTGACTTGTCAAAGAAGAGGGGCCAGATCCTAAAAAACAAACTATATCTTGCCTAACAGCATGCCAATGAAGGTACAATAGCAAAACATGAAGAGGAGAGGGGAGGGGGATTCAATATTTCATCCATATTTTTTCCACTTTGTTTTATGAACGCGGATGCAGTTCCAAAACTTTATATAAAACTAAAAGCAACTGAAGGTAGGAAGATAGACTGACTCAGATTTCATTAGTATCAACTACAGCCTTGTGCATCATAATCCCAGAAGTAAAATACAGGCCCAAGTTAAAGAAAAGAATACTCCTTTCATCGCTTGGTAGATAAGCTAATATTCTTCAATTAGACAAACCCACTTGACCAGAGAATGGGATATTGCTAAATTAAGCTTGAAATAAACTTAAACAGTCATCATTACTCAATCGCACAAACTCTGTTGTCTCTTTTCTTTTTATGAATCCAAACCCCAAATGTGCAAGTTCAAAGACACATCAAACAATAAACAAAAAGTATTTTCACGATTGTCAAATAATACTATCAATATCAGGTATAATAGTTTGATGAAATGGTTACCTGATACGAGATAAGGCACCTAAGAGCTGAGAGACTAAATCCAGAAGAAGCCCCCGCGAATCAACCAAGGAGGGATATTCAACCTGGCTAACAAGCCTGTAACAAGGACATATTTGAATGCACAACAAGAAAGGATGAACATGAGAACCATTTAAGTTTTATTCCACATATTTTGTGACTGTTTCTCAAAAATTTTATTGGTGTTTCATTGACTTCAGTGTCTCAATTCTGAATGTCTTCATTGCATGCTTCAGTCTAGGTCGAGGCACTGTCACGCTTAACTAAAGCATTTTAATTTACCAAATATCATATCCTGCTGTTTAACAAAACAGTTAGGTTGTGTTTGGTATAGGTTTAAAAATTTGGAGGGGAAATGTTAAGGGAATAAGATTTAAAGGTGAGGTGTTGAGGGTGTAAAAAAGGATTTAGAGATGAAAGGTTAAGGATTTTTGTTAGGAGTTGAAAATATTATGGGATAATAGCAGGCCCCAACAAAGGTAAAATCAAATCTTAAATTAAATATAATTGTAAAAAAATAAAAAATATATATATCAGTGGCAAAAAATGTACGTGGATAAACAAAGAATAAATAATGTTAAATTCAAAAAAGCCCCCCACCACCACCACCACAAAACAAGGTTAACATTCAACCCCACTTTACAGTTAATACCGCTGACAGGAAATCAGCCCCATGCCACCCTCATGTTTAAGTAGAATGGATATTGGCGAGTCAATTGATTTTTTGCAATTCATATATGCAATATTCATGTTGTAAATGAAGCAGATAATTCAATTCACCACACATATTTTAGAAGTTCCTAAACCTATCCACAGCACTTTACCTCTCAGCATTAATGAGCCAGTCAAAAACAAAATTTTCAAGCCCAGACCACAGTTTCTCTGCAATAAAGACAAGGCATCTTATCTAACTATAAAAAAATACAGATTCGAACAGAAAAGCAACATAACTATTCAGTGAACAAACCAGTGAGTCCCTCCTGTGGGCAGCATTCCACGAAACGGATACATGCTGAACAAAATATGCACTCCACTGCAAGCTGATCACATGCAAAGCAATTTAACCTCTGAATCAAACAACTATGTCTCCCATATCAAGATAAATTATGGCATTTAATGTTTTTAAGACTAAACAAGTTAAGAATGAAGAGGTTCTGATTATGTATTTCCTACCAAATGAATCATCCTGGTGAAATGAGCATGACAGAAAAATTCATGATGTATTCATCCAATTTTACAACTTCACAAGTAGAACACAAAGGACAAACAGCTTGAACACAATGATAGGACATTAACCCAGTGCATTTATCTGTTACCAAGTGCGTGTCCTCATTCCTCAACATTAATGAATTTGCAATAATCATGACTCCCATTTACATTGTTGCCTGAAATTTAATATTGGAGGGTGTTTCAGAGAATAATCATGAGGAAAGTTCTTACCAATAAGGATATATATTTCCCTGGAAGGATAATGACACTAGCATTATGCATATATGTTCCAGAAGCATGGGTAGATTGGGACAAAGATAAAGATGATTTCTGATTTCTTAACCTAGTCATTTGATAGGCCAAACTTTTCTTGTCCATCCACTCACTAAAAATATGTTATAAAAGATGGTAAAATCTAGTCATCTTCTCTGTCTGAAATATTTAAAAAAATTTACTCTAGCAATTTTACTTCACCTCGTTAGTGTAAAGCATTAAAAATCATAAATTGGAGGGGTATCCCAAAAGAAACAAGAAGCGCTCCTGTGAATCAGGTAAAAAGTATCTTATTATAGAGGAAGGGTCCAGTTTTCAGTTTGTAGGAGGAAGAGGTTATGGTGGGTTTGGACAATTCACTGTCATGCAGTCTAATGCATAAAAAATTAGACCAAAAGTTTACAATGAACATGCAAAAATAACGAAAATAAAACAAAAAATGAAAACACCTATATCAATTCCGTAGACTGAAATAAATAAGGGAGGAATGTCAAAAATGAATGAAAAAACTGAACGTAGCTCAGTTGCTGCAATGCATAAAGGATGAGTGTATGTCTACTTTCAATGTTTGAAATATTGAGATTTCTGACTACTATTGACCTTGCTCATGAAAAAAGAAAAAGGCATTCGATTACTGTCTCATCATCCCAGAAGAAAACATGAAAGCATACTTAAAGATCTTAAATTTCCTTATAATGGCAGAAATAAGCATGTTTATAGTTCAATTGGTGACATCATATTATAGAGGTTCAACCATTCAAGAATAAAAACTTTCAGGGATGCCGTACAAGATTGCATGTCTATGTTGAAATCATAATGAAAATTTCTTTAGTGAATTATTCACATTCAACATATTTTAGAGCCATGCAAGAGCCAACTCAATCCAAAGGTTGGGCTGCAGCTGGGTGTCAGCAAGTGAACTCAATTCGGGTTGGACTGAGCTTCATGCAAGGATTTCCTATCAGGATGAGCTCCCATGCCTTCTATATGCGAGGACATACTTGTATGAGCCAACAAATACAAACACATCAGAGTTGAGATATAGTGCTCAATAAGTATTTCACAAATCTACGCTCTCTGACACCATCATTTTTCATCAATTCTCGCATTCCCTTAAAGTGTCACTTCATCACTAACTTATTTTTCATTTTAATCATTTTGAAATTGTTTCAGCTTTGTTTTGACTTTTTTGGCACTACAAATCCAACAAATTTTCACAAAATATATCATCAGTATAGAAATTAGATTCAAGGACATCACATTGGTAATATCGATGAAGTAGTTGAAGATCAAGGCGTGGGCTCATCAAGAGTTTATGTATATTCAGCTTTAAGAAATAGTTTTATTCAACAATGTTAACCAAATGATCCATCAGAATGATTTGATACCAAGAGTGCAGGAAAGATTTTGGAAGCTCAACAATAAATTCCTCTAATGTATGTAAAACTATGTACATTGAGAATGCTTAAAGTTTACATCTTTCGTAAAACAAACTTCAATTTTATTTCTAATGATCTAAATGCTACTATAATATAAATGACAGTGCACTAAATTGGTGATACAAATAGTCCTTGACAAACCTTTCTTTGGAATGTAGACACAACATTTGCACCACCTGGAGATTCACTGAAAAAAAAAATTCCAATGAAGAAAAAAGGAAAAAAAAATTGTCAGAGAAAAAAATTAACCCTCAGACAAAAAAGAAAAACTTCTTGAATCCATGCCTTCTTTGCATTCAGACAATATTGGCAGTTATTCAACCCTCAATTTACATTTTTAGGTGCAGTTTATGCCTGTTGATGAAGTGGCAACAATGTTCCAAATTAACTGAAATTGAAGGGTAAATCAGATTGTTCCAATCTAGGCAGCAACCAGAGTAGCCCTAGGTTGCCATGCATCTATAGTTGGATGATTACTTCCCTAAGGCAACAAATGTGCAAGTCAACATGGTCGGTGCCCACACATCTAGTGAATCTTAACCAGAGAAACAGAGCAACCTAGAGGAGTTCTTGTTGAAGATGGCTGCCCTATGAAGAATGCATCTCATGAGGCATGCTAACCAGAAAATGCAGGCTGTTAATCTTGTAAAGAACTGAACAAGCATTGTCACCCAAAAGGTGAAAGTTGAAAATTGCTGGCTCCACAAACTCAATTTCATACTGCTTTCATTTCCTTTTGTGTTAACTTTCCTGATTTTTGTCATATGTGGAGTCTCTTTGTGTACCATCCAGCCAATGACTTCTATCTCCAACGAATGAAATATCAAGAAATATCAGTCACTACTAAAATGAACCACAACAAACCTTGAATGTGACCACAAGATTTGTAGCCCACAATTAGAACAATTTTCCCACTCATATTGGTCAATCAAACCAAAAAAGACTTCATAGTTTAGGATCATCAGCACCACGTAAAATTTCAAACTAAAAGCATAACATTGTCTACAACCAGCCTCCATTTTCTCAACATGAGATGAAGTATATCAATATGCTGTTTTAAACACCTCCAGAAGGTCTTTGTCCAAAGGCCTGACTTGCATTTGGCCATCAAGATGTTTGCATATCAGGAGCAGTTACATTGTTGTGTTGGCACACCATCTCAGGCTCACATGATGACCTCATCTTGGACTCTTCTTCGTCAAATGTCATTCTCTTCTATTACTCTCATCAACTTAAATCTGATGTCAATTGGTTCGATTCTCCAACTACTTTACATTATCTTCTTCACACTCCTCACTGTAAACAAGATCTTTCGCAAAACCCCTTCCTTTTCTGGCAAACAAAAATATATATATATATATATATTTCTCCATCTCAAACACCAAACAATGCTTCATCTTTCTCGTCTGTATCTTAACTTACAAATGGTGATCTTCCCCACATGAAAAATTGCTGTTATCTGTGAGATAGAAGTCGGTCAAAGTTCAAATTCTGCCTTTGTATTTCCTTCACATAGGGCCCAAGCAGTAGATTTTGTGTGTTTTCTTTTTTCTTTCCCATCGGCATGGACAAAGAGATTGTATTGGATGCAAAATGCAAACCAAAGGTTTATACAATTTCCAAAATGGAGCTAACACTGACAAGCTAGAACAAGCCTACCATCAAAATAAAAAAGCCATTCCCCCTTCGAAAAATATTTAATACTCAATCATTAACTAATAGATTTTGCACGTGGTATTCCAAACATTACCTATCTCGCCATTTAAGAAGAGCTTCAAGAAGAGGAACGGGAGTATGGCGCGCAATCATAGCCAAAGAATCCAATACCTGCTCATAGTAAGGATCAGATAGTCGAAGATATTGCCAGTCCTGCATCATAAATCCCATTCCAAGACAGCAATAAGAAATCCTTGCAACAAATTAAAATCAACATACCAGCATCCACGAGTTATCAATCACCATATTCTGCGCACATGCAAAATAAATAAAAATTACCATCACAGTCATTCAGTTTACTACTACTTCAAACATCTACAAAAATGAAAATATTCGTTTTCTATACCGGACCGAAGGAATTAGTGGAAAGAAGTCAAATAAATGTGAAATCATTTGACTGAAAAAAGAGAGAATACCGACCTGAGCTTGAGCAGTTTCTATACGGCGTCGTGCGAGAGGAAGAAACCGCTGAAGCAGCGAATCCACAATCTGCTTTGCCGCACCGGCGCCAGTGCCTCCTGTTTTCATCTTTTAATAATAATTTATTAACTCCTAACAAAAGCAAAATCACCTAAAAAAATTCCATTAGTTTATGAAAATTGGATTAATTGCGTAGTGAATGGACATGAGAGAGAAAAAGAGAGAGACCAGAAGAAAGGAAACTAGGGATTAAGGATTTGGAGGCATTGGTTTTGTGTAATTTTTTGAGTGTGATCAGAGAGTGAGGATCTGACTTTTGAGATAGAGGAGGGGAAGGGGCAGAGTTTTTTCTGTTGATTAATGGAGAAATAAACTTTTTTCAAAAATGACGTGTCGTTTGAGATTATCCAGAAGCATACCAATCTGGTTGTTAAAGCCAATGGTATAGTAAGTGGGAGCCAGTTAAGAGAAGAGCACTATTTATCATATAATAATAGCAATAAACTAATAATTATATATATATCAGGGATTGATTTGATTTAAAAGTCATTATTTATTTATTTTTAAGATCTTAATATTCTGTGCATTTTTTTACGAATTTTCATGGATTTAGATCAAGTCCTTCCATAATTGGTGAAATCATCTACGCCTACGCCAATACGTGTATCTAAAAGTAAATTTCATTGTACTTTTAAGATCCTGGATAATGATTAAAGAGAAGAACAAACCTATTTAAGTGGCATTTAAGCTACCATGATTAAGATGTAAAATAAATTAAGTTATTCAAACTCATTCTACTCATAAAATAGTTGTTGGAACACCTTTGTTAGTCAAATTAAACAAGTTTGGGCAATTTAATAATGGTAGAATAAAAAATAATACACCAACATAAAATATGATTTCACATATGTAAAAATAATTTAACATTACCTGCTTTGAATTAGATGAAGATTAGATGATTGCCCGCCTTACGTTGTACATCGGATTAAAAACACATGAAATTATTTTAAAAAATTATTATAATTTGATGATTCTCGTCATGCTACAAATCCACTGCAATATATTAAAATCAAAGGAAAAAAAAATCACCTAACTTTATGGTTTTTAATCAAAATTTTATACTTGATTGATTATTTCTTATGTTTTCTAATAGATTTCTTTAAAAAGGATTTGTTTTTTTTTATATGGATTCTTAAATAAAAATTTGTAATGATAAAAAATGCAAGTTTCAATTAACCGTAAATCCAAAAAATATGTGTAAAATTAATATTTTTTTTGTAAGATTGCATTGAAGAAATAAAGCAAAAATAATGAAAAAATTATATAAACATAAAATTTTTAAAATTTATTTATCCTTTTTGAATATCAATGAGAAGATTCATTTTTAAAAGTATTTATACTAGGTTCACACACACACATATATATATCTTAAAAGTAATCGGTAATATTAGTGTAAAAAACTCTATTTGAAAAGTATGGTACAATTGATTTTTTTTAATGCGATTTTAATTATTTTGTTTGAGGAAAATTGATTTTAAAATATCAAAAATAAATTAAAAAGAGTACATGTTTTTTTTTTTTTTTTTGGTATATGCATAATCAATTTATAATTAACAAAAAGTACCTATAAAATTAATTTTGATAAATTTTGATCATGTAAAAAATAATAATAAAATATGTGGATTCCTTTTTTTCATTCTTAATAGATATTTTTGTTTCTAAAACATACGTGTGTTAGTTCTCATGCATGGGATTAACAATTATAACAATCAATTCTCTTTTTGTTATAAAAGAAATAAATATAATTGAAGAATTGAAGAGAAGGATGATAAAAAAAGAATTCACTATAAAATTAAATGAATACAAGTAATAAGAACTTCAAAATATTTTTTTAATCTTTTTAAAATCTTATATGCCAACCAATGAACAATCAAGCTTATTTATATGTTTCGAATTGAGAAGATAATTGGAAAGGATCTGTGAATAATTAAAAGTACATAAATCATTAAATCAATTGCATCACATTTTCAATCTTTCATATTGAATGATGAATTAAACCACATTAAGAATTATGAGTAGTTGGGATATGAAAAGTATATGGACATTCATTATTTCATAACTCTCTTCCTTAAATGTCCATTGTATAAGGAACATGTCTCGTTAAAACATTATTAGAAAAAAACCTAGTGGGAAAAAAACTTAATAAAGGAAAAAAAGTACAATATTCATTGTACATATTAATTCTCATATTGGTCTCTCCCTGTTGAAAACATTATTTAAGGTCTCTAAAAAGACGCATTCCGAGTCTTGTGAATTATTTTCTCAAAAGCTATGATAGGTAATGCCTTAGTGAAGTAATCTGTTGGATTGTCACTTGATCGAATTTGTTGAACATTAATATCACTATTCCATTGAAGATCATATGTGAAAAATAATTTTGATGATATATGTTTTGTTTTGTCACTTTTGCTCGTATCTTTCCCGTAATTGAGCTATCAAGTAGTATTATTTTCATACAATGTTGTTAAAACTTCCTTGCTAGTGGATAAACCGCATGTCTCTCGAATATGATGAGTCATTAATCTTAACCAAACACATTCTCGACTTATCCCGTGAATTACTAGTATTTCGCATAGTTTGAAGATATGGTAGCTATAGTTTGCTTTATAAAACGCCATGATATAGCTATATCTTCATATGTAAATACATAACTAGTTTGAGATTGAATTTTGTATGGATCAAATAAATAACCTACATCTGCATAATCAATTAATCTTGTATTTGATTTATTAAAGTAATATAAGTTCATATCAATTGTTCCTCGAAGATAACCTAGTATATGTTTAATTTCATTTCAATGTCTTCGTATTGAAACAACACTATATCTTGCTAATAAATTTACAAAAAATGCTATATCGGGTTGGGTATTATTAGTAAGATACATTAATGCATCAATTGTGCTAAGGTATGATACTTCAAGATTAAGAAGTTCGTCGTTATCTTCTCGAGGTCGAAAAAGGTCATTTTGGACATTAAGTGAACGAAATATCATTGGACTAGTCAATGGATGAGCCTTATCCATATAGAATCGTTGTAGTACTTTTTTTATATATGTTGATTGATGAATAAAAATTTCATTTTCTAAGTGTTCGAACTACGAGTCGAGATAAAAAATTTTTTCAAGATCTTTCATATCAAATTCTTATTTTAAATAATCTATGGTAATTAAAATCTCTTCGAGAGTTTTAATTATATTTAAATAATTAACATATATAGCAATTATCATAAACTCCCTTTCGAATTTCTTTATAAAGACACATAGACAGATTAGATTATTTTTATAACCTTCTTTTAACAAATAATCACTATGATGATTATACCACATGCATCCAGATTGTTTCAATCTATATGGAGATCTTAGTAATTTAATTGAATACATCTCTCGAGAATGCATTTTACACGCTTTAGGCATTTTAAGTCCTTTTAGGACTTTCATATCGATATCATTATCAAGTAAATCATATAAATAGGTCTGTGATCACATCCATTAAATGTATATGAAGTTTTTCATGTGTTGTCAAGCTAATAAGATAACGAAATATAATTGTGTCCATTATAAGAGAATATGTCTTCTTATAATCAATGTCGAGTCTTTGTGAAAACCTTTATGCTACAAGTCTTGTTTTGTATCTCACAATTTCATCCTTATCATTTTATTTTTACACAAATACCCATTTGTATCATACAAGCTTAACATGTTCAAATGTTTTAACTATAGGTCCAAAAACTACTCGTTTCATGAAACACTTTAATTCTTCTTGGATTGCACCTTTCCACTTAGCTCAATCATCTCTATGTCAATATTCTTCAATAGATTTAGGCACGGGATCCTTATTTAAAATATCAATTACAATATTATGTGCAAAAATATTATCAATGAATATTTCTTTTCGGTCTCATTTTCTCCCTGTATTAACACAATTTATTGAAATTTCTTGATTTTTCTCAAGCATTTGGGCTTCTACTGGAGCACTGTTATCAAAAACATCTTGGACCATTTCATCCGCCTCTTTTATATTTTCATCTTGATTATTTTTTTCTTTCAATGATTTTTATCTTTAGAATCAATTGATCTTTTACGCTTCAGAGCTTACTTAAGATTCATTTGTTATAAAATTAATAGATTGTTCTACTTGGGACATCGATTTTAATAGGAGCATTATCACTAGGAACAAGTGATTTAGTTACTCTATTTAGATTAGAGAATGCATCTTGTAGTTAATTTGTAAGACTTTGTAAATGAATTATCCTCCGAACTTTAAGTTATACTTGTTTTGTACGGGGATCAAGATGATATAAAGATGAAGTATTCCATGTAATTACTTTTTTCAACATTTTTAATTACTTATTTTGTTTATTCCCCCTAATGTTGAAAAAATTATTTCATCAAAATGACGATCAACAAATCGAGCCATAAAAACATCCTTCATTAATGATTCAAGATATTTAATTATAGAAAGAGATTCATATCCGATATATATCTATAATCTCCTCTAATGACCCATTTTAGTTTATCGTGAAGGAGTAATTAGAACATATATAGCACATCCAAAAATTTTTAAATGAGAAATATTAGGCTCATGACTAAAAATCAATTAAACCCCAAACATAAACGGGGAGTTTTATTTTTATAAGTAATGATCTAGCTATCAATTGGAGGCTTTTGATAAATGATTCTGCTAAATCATTTTGAGTATGAACATGAGTAACAAGCTATTCAACTCTTATTCCAATAAACATACAATATTCATTAAATGTTTGAGAGGTAAATTCATCGGTATTGTTAATGCGATTTATTTTAATGGTATAATTTGAAAATTATGCTCGCAATCAAATTATTTAAGCAAGTAACCTTGAAAACGCCATGTTTCAATCAAGTTGATAATAAGAATACATGTGACCATCTTGTAGATGCATCTATTAAGACCATAAAATATCTAAATGATCCACATAGTGGATGAATTGGTCCACATATATCACCTTAAATATGTTCTAAAAATACTAAAGAGTCAATTCCAGTTTTATTTGATGATGGCTTAATAATAAGTTTGCCTAGTGAACACGAAAGACATAAAACTTATCAAATTAAAAAAAATCTTTTGGTTATTTAATTGATGCTCATACAAATTTTTAATAATTTTTTTTACATCATAATGAATCTAGGATGGCCCAATCGATCATGCCACATAATAAAAGAATTAGTAAACTTTTGATTTACTATAGTATTTATTTCAATCATTTGAATATTTATGTAATAAATGCCAAAATAGAAAGTATGTAATTTCTCTAATACATATTTTCTATATGATGTAATTTTTATAATATATAAGTATTCAATATTCTCAATATTTGTTGTCTCGATATGATATCCATTTCAACTGATATCTTTGAAACTCAACAAATTTCTATGAGACTTATGAGAGAATAATGCATTATTTATAATCAAATTTATCCCTCTAGGTAATAATATATTTGCTCTTCCAGAGCCTTCGACTAAATTAACACTACTAAATATAGTGTTAATATTAGCCTTACTCGTAATTAAATTGGATAAATACCTTTCATTTTTAAGTATAATATGTATTGTTGCACAATCCACGAGGTATGGATTCTCCTTTACAACATTTAAACCAATTGCAAACTTGGTAATATCAATATATTCTTCATAGACATAAAAACAAACAAATAAATAAAAATTGTAACTATCACAATGAAATTATATAAAAAAACATAAAACTTCTTTATTCGTCAATAAAAAAGGTAACAAAATTTCAATGATTATCATTAAACTAATGATCTTTTCTTTTAGACTATTAAAAAATAAAATCAATAACATCTAAATGTGTCAAGTTACTAAAACCTTTAAGAGAAACATTATCATGATCATTACTTTGATATATAAAATTTGTCTACTATATCACTTTCTTTCTTTTTCAACGAGGCTTGATAAAGCTCGACTAAGTGCTTTGGCCTACGACGGACATGCAACCAATGTCCCTTTATACCACATCTATAGCATTCATTTTTGAAATGTTGACTTGATCCAATTTTATTGTTTTCTTATTTCTTTTCATAATTTATCCATTTCGGTGGTGATGTGTATTATTATGATCATCATGATTATAAAAATAATTATTTCGACCATGATTGTAGGTATTACCACTACCACGTCCACGTCCATAGCTATGACCAAACCTTCGTCCACACCCAAAATTATTATAAAATGTCACATTCACTTCGGAGAATGGAGTAGACCCGATTGGGCGGGATTCATGATTTTTCATCGGTAACTTGTTATTTTGTTCGACCATGAGTAAGTATGAAATTAATTCGGAGTATTTCTTACAACTTTTTTCTCAATATTCTTGCTTGCGAGAACATATTCAAGGCTTGAAAAGTAGAGAATATTTTCTCTAACATATTTGAATCGGTAATAATTTCTCTATAAAATGTTAGTTAAGAATTGATTATAAATACTATAGAATTATACTCACTTACTCGTTTTGAAATCTTATAATTTTAAGTGCATCACATCATAACGAGCTTTTGGAAGAATTATGATTGTTGTACCTTTCCTCTAAATTTTTTTCACGGTTCAAGTAGATCTTTTACTCGTTAAGTATTCAATTTTCAAATTCTCATGGAGATGACGATGAAGGAAGATCATTGCCTTAGCACGGTTTTACAAGGATTCTTGATTCACATTCATGATTGTTTGTCCAAGACCATTAGCATTTAATCCGTCACGGCATCAAGCGTCTATGATAAATAATTCTTGCTCGAAATGTCAAGTGCTACAAAATCAAGCTTTGTGAGGTTTGACATCATGAAAATTCTCTAATACAAGATATAATAATGATGTTAGAGAATAAAAACAAACATAAAATTCAAATTTCTCAAAACAATATGCATTAGATCATTAGAATATTTATTAGATTATTCAAGTTTTTCAAATATATACTAAATGTATCATTAGATTTACGGTAAAAGATAAATTAGATACATATCTCTTAATAGTCTAGATGATTTACGTCATTTGGTAGAATAATCGTGCTTGATAATATGTTATAAAAGAAATAGATATAAGAGAAGAATTGAAGAGAAAGATGATAAGAAAAAGAATTCATTATAAAATAAAATAAATACAAATAATAAAGACTTTAAATTATTACGTTAATCTTTCTAAAATCTTGTATACCAACTAATGAACAATCAAGCATATTTATAGGCTTTAAAATTGAGAAGAGAATTGGAAGGGACTATGAAAATTAAAAGTACATAAATTGTTGAATCAATTGCATCGCCCTTTCAATCTCTCATATTGAATAATGAATTAAATCACATTAAGAATTATGAGTAGTGTGGATATGAAAAATATATGGACATTTATTATTTCATAACGTTTTTTTTTACTTTTTAATTTTAATTATTACTCAAAAACTTAAAACTATTATTAGTCAACAATTCAAATCATATTTAAGAAATCAAGTGAATATTTTGGAATATCATTTTTTTTCAACTATTTTATGGTTTGAGACCACCATAACAAACTCTCATCTCGGAGGTGAATAAACCGAAACAAAAATCGACGAGTAAAAGTTATTGGAATGGACTTTGTCATTGATCACATTCTTTCTCTTTGTTTCTCTATATATTTACGAGATCAAATAACAATATAAATGAAATTAAAACCAAAACAATATTCTTAAAAGTTTGAAACTCAATTAACTCAAATGATACAATTGAATCTTACCAAAATCGAAATTTAAATTTTTTAAAAATCCTTCTACCATGTTAATCAAGTGATGTAGTGATTTGGGCCGAATTTGATAAATATGCATTCGAAACGTCCCACACATAGAGAGAGAAAGAGAGAGAGAGAGTTTATTTCTTCTTCTTCTTCTTCTTATTTTTTTCCTCAAATAAAGTGGACACATAGCAATATCTTCAATAAATGACATATAAAAATAACTTAGCATCAAAAAAATGCCAAGATTTTATTGGTGGAACTATAATTAATTGTTTTAAAAAGAGAAAGATAATAAAAAACCAACTAATTGTCTTTAAAAATTTTATGATCCAATCATGGTCGAATTTCTTATACATATATTTTGTCAAGCATGATTGGTCGTATCAACTTTCAACATTGGGTTCATTATCAAATTTTTCTATATGCCTTCCTCTCGTTCCTCACATCTTACACAAACACTAGAGAAAACCATTATATTGACCATACACACAAGATCATTAAATGTTCGTCGAAGAAGAAAATACAATGAAAAAATGGGAAGAGAATAAGCAAAAGAGGAGGAAATGAGAGAAGGGTAAAGCTACGACAACACAAAAGTACTTAATGACAAGATGGTAATTGATTGAAAAAGACAAGGGTGATAAATAGGAAAAGAAGAAATAACTAATAGAGACCAAGACATTTGAAAGAAAAAAAGAGCAAAAAAGATTTAAAAAAGAAGAAGAAAACATCATCATTACTAAATGTAACGTTGTAGAGTAAGATATGTAAAATGCAAGAGAAAATGAATGGCTTAGATGCAAAAATAAGGACAAAACGAGTACGCTCGATCACAGTCCACAATTAAATAAGTCTACGTGAACGAGTCTATCAATAGTAATACCATCATCTTTTTTAGTTTCTTTTGCAATACAAAAATAAATCAAAAATTAAATGTTTTTAAACTGTAAATAGAAGCTAATAAAATTAAATTAAGCAATTTTTCATAAAAATTATTTTTAAAAAACCTCATATTTTGTAACGAATACTTTCAATTCAATGGCTAAAGTTTTTTAAAAATTGAATTTAAGAAAAATATTTTATAAAATTAGTATTACTATACATGTAAATGATATTGAAAACAAAACACATTTATTAACTTTTGTTTATTCGTGAATAAGTTTGAGAGCCATGAAATTAAATTTTTAATATTACTTTTTAGCTCGGTATGAAACTCAGCCCCTTGATTTAGACAAACCAATTTTAAACATCATATTCATGTTTGATTAGTTCGATTACAGACCTACAAAAGATATAGGGACTGAATTAACAGAAAATAAAATTTAAAGGGACTATAAGAACAAAATTAAAATAGTAGAGGTATCGAATGCACCTTCGACCTCAAAGAAAACCCAGTACTAATAAAAGGTCAGAGCTGTCGAGTTACTCAGTCGGGGCCCAGTCTCCTAACCATGGCGTCACCAAATGAGAAAGAAGCGGAGGTACAACAGCAAGACAGCCTCGCCGATGCCCTCAACGATCTCTTCACTAGCGTCTCAACCATGGTTACATCCGAACTTCAGGTACCAAAACAAGAAACCCATCTTCCCATTTTGTTCAATTTCAATTGATTTGCATTACTTTCTGTGTTTTGGTTTTTTAGGGGACAAGCAATCAATTGGAGCTATTGGAGAAGATGAATGTAAGAGTGAGTGAAGAGTACAAAGGGTTTGGTGATGTGGCATCTGGGCTAAGGGTTTTTGTGGAGCAATTGAAGGGTAAGAGTGGTAATTTTGACGAGTATGTGCAGCAAATTGAGGACATAGAGAAACAAGTTACTGAATTTGAAGCTGTTATTTCAGTTCTTGATAAGTATGTTTCTTTGTTGGAATCTAAAGTTCACTTTGTGTATCGACAACAATCTCCTACTTCGTAAATAAATAATATGTTCTGTTTGTTTGGTTTATGTATTTGTACTAGTTTCGGTTAATTCAACGTTGTTGAAAAATAAGAAAGTTCAATTCTTGGTTTCAAAAACGGAGAAACAAAGTTCAATTCTTTTTCTTTGGTTTTAGTTGAGTAACATATTTTCCCTTTTTGATTTGGGACATGAATTTGGTAGCTGTGATTCTCTTTCTCAAAGAATCCATGCAAATGACTTGGTCTTGTCGTCTGCAAGGGGAAGATAAGAAAGACAACTTGCCACTGTTAGGGAAAGTTTAGAAGCTTTGATGGTGTTCTTAATGGTGCTGCCAATGCACAGGTTGCTTAGGCTCTGGCCTGGATTTTTCTCTGACCTTCCAGCATTGGGAACCGAATTCTATGTTTATTTACGACAATTTCTGCTAGTTTAAGCTTCATTGTTTAGTGACTTCCCAGCAAGTTCCAGCTTACAAAATTAAGGAACTGGGGAAAATCCTTAGCTTGCAGTTCCTACTCAGCTTAACAATCATATTATATATAAAGTTCAAGTTAGAAACTGCTTGTCGCCGTAGGTAGGAAATTGAAACAAAGATGCTGGACAGCGGCATTGACGTAGGATGAAACAAACAAGGATATTGCTTCATAGATGAAAGTTGTGAATGCCTTTAACAGGACTGGATTTTAACTTTATTTATAGAGGCAAAGACGCATAATAGGGAATATGACAATTTAGGAGGGACAGCTGGCAGGATCGCTTCCGTTGCAGTCGCCACCTTTGAATTCTGAGTTCCGAGTTCAGAGTTTCATCCCGGCCACTTCTCTAGTTTTGAGCCCATGTTCTAGAGAAACTAATCACATTTTCATTTTTTGTTTCAAATTTAATTGGAAAATTTACTAATATTCTTTGAAGTTAGCATTCAACTTATCTGTGGAGGCATAATTGGTGTTTGCATCCATGAAAATATAGCTAAAAATCTAATAGGACCTTCAGTGCATGGAATCTATCGAATTTAACAGATGGGGAGCCACAGCCACCATTAAACCACCAAACCTAGAAGCAATGTTCTTCGTAACTTTGCTAAATTATCATCATCATGTTTCATCTGTCAATATAAGAAGGAAACAGAATCAATAAAAGGCTATTCCATAATCGACGTTTTAAATAATATAGTTTATTCCTTAATCCTTAATTAAAGAAATTAACCACCGCAGCCTCCACCACCTCTCCAGACACAGCCACCCCCAGTACTCATAGAGTACGTACTTGATGCGGTTGCATTCCTACCACCAACATAAGTTAGCGTGCCTTTAGGTTGATTCTTATTATCAGTTAGCGAAGAACGACAACAATGTTGTTCTCTTTAATCCCAGTACATGTTCTCTGTTATCTCGACACTGACTCATTCTCTCTTCTTCTGCTATGATCTTGTGACATTGTATGGAGAGATTGTTAAAGGGTAGGCTATATCACTTTTAATTAATATGATTTTTTTCCAGTCGTTGTCATATAATAATACACTACATTCTACAGTTAATAAGATCACATTTATTGGAAACTCCAGTTTTAGTGTTATTTCTAAATATGAGATTAATATTTAGAAATCAGTGAGATTAATAATGGTTTCCTGCAAGGGTTTTTAGGAGTTAGAGGGAGCAAAGGCCCTTTGCTGCACGTTTAGGTCCGGTTCAGATGTGAAATGGGACATATTAACCTCGAAATTTCATAATCCTTGTTATATTTCCTGCTTCTCCTAAAAATTGTAACCTCACAAGAATTGGTTGGTTTGATGGAAGATGCGATGGATTCAACTTGTGTTTGATTATTTGATTTCAAAATGCCCTCCCTAGCTACTGCTCAAATGAGAGTTCACAAGAAGCAAGTCATTCCACCTAATTAATATGCTACAAAATAGTTAGGAAACAAATCAAGAAAGAAGATAAAACAGAAAAAACAAGAAACACTCACACAACGTGTTGTGTTTTATTGCACTAAAAATTCTTATTAGAGTTTTGTTAATTCACAGCTACAGCTACAAATACAAGAGATATTATCCCTATTTACAATTTAGATAACTAAAATTTTATATATATAAAAAAAGAACTTTATAGACTTATACACCCGACTCAATATATTATGTACCTTTCAAGAGTTTTGTCGTGTTAATTCTATATAGAGCATTAAACTCGTATGTAATATCTATATCGATCTTTACAACTTAACAAAAACATGAGGAATTTTGTTGGTAAAATCAAAAGGCTAAAGAAAATTCAGGGTTGGACTTTAGTGATGCTCCTCAACTTCACATGATTGCATGTAATTTTATTCGTATTCTCGGAAACGAGCAAAAAATATCAGATCACTGGACAAGGAAGCCTTGAACCTTTTCCCATTCCCATCCCAAAAGCACTGTGTTAGATTAGGTTAATTTCTGCACAATTGGTGCCCTTACATGCCTCAAAACCGGAACTCCTGTGATAACTTTTTGGACAGAATTTATAACTATCTAACAGGATTTATTGTTTATTCATTTTCTCATTAAGTAATGTTAAACATAGAAAAAACAATAACCTAAAAATAAAACTTCAAAAGTATGCTTAAATCGTGGGATTCCAATCTTAAAATTGTAAAATTCTAGTAATCCAAGGATCCATAAATCCACTAATCTATTGGAGTTTTTTTCTTGTTATTTTTTTCTTATTATTTACCATTTTACTATTTTTTTTTGGCACGAAAGAGTGATGATATATCCGTCTATTTAATCCAATTTGAAATTTCTTATTGGGCCAAAAACTCTTGAGAAGCCCAAACTGGTGAAGTCAATAAAATCAAAACCCGTCGGGCCCAACTTACTTCCGTTTCCAGAACCTGTTAAAACACTCCTCCATGCGCCATTAATTCCCTCTATCTTCTCTCCAAACTCCCGTAGCACTAAGCCAGTAACAATGACAACCACCACCATGGGTCCTCCTCCTCCAAGAAATCCCAATACCGACGCTGCCTCCACCACCTCCACCGATGCTGTCTCCACCACAGAACTCGAACCCGAATCTAAAATCTCAGCTATCGACGAACCACCACAAATCTCCTCCACACCAACAGCTGCAAAACCATCCATGGCTCCACCACCTTTCAAAAATCCTAATTCCACACCACGAGAAACCTCTACAGAGCAAGAGAAAACAAAATCAAAGAATCCATCTGTGCCGTACACAATTCCAGAATGGAGTGCGCCACCTTGTCATAAATTCTCCCTCGAGATTCTCAAAGATGGCTCCATTATTGATCAACTCGATGTGTGAGTCTTGTTCTGATTTGATTTTTTGGTGCTTATCATCACCATAATTTTGATTAACTAATGAAAGTATTGATGGTGTTTTTCTGTCTAGTTGCCATAAAGGTGCTTACATGTTTGGCCGTGTGGAGCTCTGCGATTTCATTCTCGAGCACTCTACTATCTCTCGCTTCCACGCCGGTATTTTCTGTGCTATCTCTCTCTCTTTAATTCTTGAAGTTAAGAATTGTTTGATGAAATGAGTTAGTTAACGAAGTAAATGATTCAGGTCAATCTTGTAATCAGTTTCGATGTGGCATTGCTCTTTGATTCACATTCGTGAGTGATATAATTAATTGAATTTGAGCTAAAAATTGCGATCACGTATTTTGGCTACCTTTTGCTTGTGGCTAGCATGTGCTATATTTATAGGGTTAGTACTTTTTGAAATATTTGCCTCTACCATAATGTCAGGATCAGACAGAAAAGTGATGAAACTTCGCTTCCCATAGGAAAGTTTCTATATCTGTTGGTAGTTAGCTAAACTACCTGGCCTTTCCAGCATATAGACTTGTGTTGGGCTCTAGCTGAATCTTGTTAGTAACTTAGATTGTTTATATGAACTGCTGCTAACTTCCCTTTCCCAAAGCTGCCAAAAAAACTGCTCAGTGATTGTAGTCGTTATGCTTTCTCTGGAAGACTGCTATTGCTAAAAGAAGTTTCAGAGAAGTAGCTTACAGAGTTGGACTTTCTTCTTCTTTCCTTTTTCTTTTTCTTTTTCTTTCCATCCAAGTACATTGGTGTTTGACTTGAAGATTGCATGGATTATTTTACATGTAAATCATGTTCAGTATTTTCCGAAGCTTATTTTCTCAGAGAATTATATTGATTTCCTTTTTGTTTGTAGTTGTGTAATTACAGTGATTATCTCCAGCTTTCCATGTCATAGAATCCGTTTATCGATGCCTAGATATGGGGAGTAAATGGGTTAAGGAACTCTTATTCATTTGGACTTCAAGCATAGAGTTGTTGAAAGTTTCCTTAATTCTAGGTGCTGGGGTCATTATTTAAAAAGTTGTTTCTCTTTGCCAGTTCTCCAGTTCAAAAGAAATGGAGATGCCTATCTTTACGACCTCGGCAGCACTCATGGCACCTTCATTAACAAGAGTCAGGTTAGCATCATTTGCATTACCCTTTTTATATTTAAATTATATGCAGTACTTTAAGGTCTGATGTAAGTGATACATTGATGTTGCAATGGAATTTGCAGTCTGTGACATGCTATCCCATATATACCCAGCTATGTAAGTCATTTAGTCACCCAGATGCGTTAGATTTATGGTTTGATTGGATGATAATTTCACAAAAGAAAAGGAAAGATAAATCCAAGCTAAACAACTTGGCTAAAATATAATGTGCTTTACACCAGACCTTGCAAAAATGTAATGTCCTTTAAACCAGACCTCATGCAGTAAATGTCCTGGATCCTGAGGAAGGAATTAAAAGAAAAGCAAACAAAATGATAGTTTGGATAAACTTTCCAAGAATTTATAGATTTAATAGCTGCAGAAGGTTATAGGGTACAAAATAAATGCTAGCCTCTCCTATTTGTACAATCTCAATAGAGCTTCAAGAGGCAAAAAATGCATAGTATTTGGGACTCTGATGATTCTAATTGCTAAACAAAAGAAATCCTAACAAAATGTGAAATACACTGCATGGATCTACTACATACAATACTCTAAACACTAGTACCTTACTGGAGAAGTATTCTGATTCTGAGCAAACATTAACAACAGCCAACCAACATTTTTTGCATGTTAACACAGTCTGGACAGTCAGAAATTTTTTTTCTTGTCATGTCTGATCAGTTGATCTAGAATCTTCCAGAGGAACAGATCCCTTCTTGATAGGAAAACCTTCAAGTCTAAGTTTATTCATGCTGTTGACACAAAATGAAAAACAGTAGCTCCAATTTATCATCAGCCAAAATTAGCAGAATTTATGCTTTTCAATTTTCATCAATTTAGCATTTTGTTAAATGAATCAATCTTTTATATGAGATAGGCGAGGATTTTCTGTCGTTTTGATTTTGCATCCAAAGTTGTCCCGTGCTAGAACCTGAGGGAGGGGGAGTTGACCCCGTAAAATGAATTACATATTTAGTAGCTGAAAATCTTGTAGAACAAAGCCTTGCTCTCAGGTAGTAAAGGTGTGAGGCAGGGTTATGGTGGCTTCTTTTTCTGAAATTTGCTGCTGGAAAAAAGTTTCTGTAGAGTAGGTTGTATTTTAATGATCTGCTGCTGATTTCTTCTTTTAAATGTTTTTTTCCTTACAGTGCGTGATATTTTTTGTTGCATTCTTAATTGTGTCCCTTTTTTTTTTTCCTGTTTATCAGGTGGAGAAGAGAGTTCACGTGGCATTACATGTTGGTGATGTTATTCGATTTGGCCAGTGAGTAACTTTCTTAGTTGATTCCTTGACTTATCTCATTCTTCTGTGTCTTTCGTTCCTCTGGCATTAATATAATCCTACACTTTTTTTATTGTTTATCACCTGGCATCATTGCCTGCATAACTTAACATCACTGTACTTGTGATGTTAAGCCACAATTCATAGTGCATAAGGGGCTGTTGGACGAAGACCATAACTAGGATTCATGGTCAAAACCTTTAATAAGCTTTGGTTCACATATTCTTCATCCTATATATACTGAGATTGTTTCAATTTGTGTCTTACATATAGTGTTATGTTTGAATGTTTCAATCTTTTTCTTACATGTGGTGTTATATTATGAGTGTTATGTTTGAAAAGACATTATATAGGAAAGGATGTTGCTGTTTATACATTATTGTCCTTGCATATTTCTGAAAATTCCTTTTGTGTTCTTTCCTTGCACAGATCGTCTCGATTGTACATTTTTCAAGGGCCGCCTGACTTGATGCCACCGGTAAGATTGCTGTCACTATACACACATAAGTAGTGCTTCATTGATGTCTGAGATTTTGTGTACTTGGACATTACTCCTTGTTTCTTTCTTTTTTCCTTTGATTGACCTTATTCTGAATACAGTTTGCGTATGTGTGTGCTCATGGACGTTCATGCATTACCTTATGTCCAAAATGTTATATAAATTGTTCCCAAAGTTGAGTGGTGTTTACATGTATGTTGGTTCTCCAGGTTGTTTAAAAGAATAAACATGAAGAGTTTTTAGTTTGGAAGATTAAATGAATTACAGACATACCTCTGTTGTAGAAGTAGTTCTATTTCTCTTGCATAGATTTGTTAGTACGTTCATAAAGTTATATTATGTTGCTTAAACAGCAGGAATGAATCAATTGCCATAATGTATCATGTATTGTAGGAAGCTGACCGGAAAATTCTTAGAGATGCTAAGATCCGGCTAGAGATGCAAGATCGGGAAGCCTCACTTCAACGAGCAAGGTTGGAAGCATCTCTTGCTGATGGTATCTCATGGGGCATGGGAGAAGATGCTATTGAAGAAGCAGAGGTTAGTGTCACTCAATATTTTTTTGATGTAATCTAGCAAGAATTATTGTTGTTGGCTTATTGTTACTGTCGGCAGATATTCAACTTTTCTTTTTGTCAACACGTTGCCGTAAGTTGCTTTGCAGAAAATATAGTACATATGAGATTATGTTTTGTTTGCACTTTTATGCAAGGAGGATTGCTTAAACTATTATTTGTTCTCTATGAAGTATGCATGTTGGACAATAGTAGTGTTTGTTTATACGCTCTGTCAATCTTACCTTTCCTGCTTATGCAGAATTCTTGCATTTTTAGTAATCCAAAAAAGAAAAAGGGTAATTCAATGAGAATTTGTTGTTTCTATCCCAACTAGGGACTTGAAGACTAACTATTTTATATGTACTCTTGACAATTTACCTCCAGGTCAATTTCTTTTTGGAATTAGAAAACGAAGTATCTCGTGTTCCAAAACTTTTCTATAAATCCTAAATTAGATTCTTTTGCTTTATAATTGAAATCTGATGATTATCTTCTCTGTGTATCTTTTTGTGGATATCTAGGATGATGGTGATGAAGTAACATGGCAAACCTACAAAGGGCAACTTACAGAGAAGCAGGAAAAAACCCGTGATAAAATAATAAAACGAACAGAAAAGGTAAGTGGTTTTCTTTTTAGTATTCCGAGTTCCTCATTTCTATAAGTTTAATGTCTTATACCTTGAACATGAGACTAATCTGTATCCAGATTTTCAATCCCCTTCAATATATGTTCTAGCATCTTCTAAAATTTTCATCTTGTTACCTTTAGACTACTTGAAGTACTATTTTTAGAGATGACTTCTTTCCTTTTACTGTACTGCCTTTCATTTTTATTTTTCTCCTGGTGTTAGAAGTGTTAAATCTTAATTGTTGCACATGCTATGTATCAGTGTGATTTATTGAGGGAGAAGAGAGCTTCATTTTCCCATGTTTACTGTTCCATTTGCATTTTGTTTTAGTATTTTGAATATGTAGATGTTCTGCTTCTCCCTTGTTCCTCATGCTATTTTTCTTGCTCATTTATGCTTATTCAACCAAAGTCTGGCTGTAGATTGCTCATATGAAGAAAGAAATAGATGCCATTCGTGCTAAAGACATTGCACAAGGTGGATTAACACAAGGTCAGCAAACTCAGATTGCACGCAATGAACAAAGAATAACGCAGGTAAAAAGTCTACTAAGGATAAATGCAAGCTGGTCTTTTCTCCCCATGTGTTGTGTGATTTGTTTCCATTTTTATGTTAGAAAGCAAAATCTCTTTGGAATTTCTCCCCACCTGTACATGATATTCTCTTATATCTTTTGACAGATAATGGAAGAACTAGAAAACTTGGAAGAGACTCTTAATGAAAGTATCCAGGAAAGCATTGGGGCACGTTCTGGAAAGATATCTCGTGGTAAAGGAAAGGGAACAACAGAAGATGATGAAGGTTTTTCAAGGTACATTACCTTGCAGGATTCTCTCCAAACCAAAAACCTTTGAACATCCATTAAATAAGAAAATAACAATGCCGTACTATGATTTATTTTACATTACTGAGTTATTGTCTTGTGAATTATTCTCAGGGCTTGATATTTTATAAACCATATTAATGATTTTGCATGATTGGTCACCCAGTCATCTTTTATTTTTCCCCTTTTTTTTAAATTGAAATCGTGATCATGCAAATTAAATAACTAATGCTTATTACTTCATTCAGTGATGATGACGAATTCTATGACCGAACAAAGAAACCATCAACGCAAAAAGCTGGTGAAAATCAATCAATTGAAACTGCTGACACTCTTCTTGACAAGAGAGATGCTATTATGAAACAAATGGAAGACAAAAAAGAATTGCTTTCTATCGAGAAGAATAAATTGGCATCAGAAAATACAGTCGAGAATGAAGCTGGAGATGCACTTGATGCTTACATGTCAGGGCTTTCATCTCAGCTAGGTAGGGTGAAATAAATTACCTATATTTATGCCATAGTATATGCTTGAGAAGCATCTTCGTGCCTTTGTGGTTTTGGTTCCTATTACTTGTCAGTGCTAGTGCTGTGTCCTCTGTGTGTGTGTGTGCGCTCGCGCTTGCGGGTCAGTGAATGCTTGAGAACAATTTCGTCATTTCTGTATAGTTGCTTATTTCCAAATTTTCTTGTCAGTGCTGGATAAAGCTGTGCAACTCGAAAAGGAGCTATCCTCTCTACAATCTGAACTAGACAGGATCTTGTTCCTATTAAAGATTGCTGATCCATCAGGAGAAGCTGCTCAGAAAAGGGATTCAAAAGTGCATGATATGAAACTTGATAAAGCAGAGGTGCCTGTTTCTGCCACCAAAAGGCAATCATCCACAGAACCAAAAAAAGTAGTGCATTGCAAAAACCCACCAGTCTCTCCATGCAGACACAGAAAACTGAAGATGCTGTGGTTGCTAAAATGGAATCAAATGATGTGCCAGAAACTGAGAAGATTGTCATTGATGCTCCTGATGACAAACCTGCTGTTTATACTGTTGTAAAACCCCAATGGCTAGGTGCTGTAGACAAAGGGGAAATAGAAGAGACCCAACAACAAGAGGTGTTGATCATGGATGAGTCTGATCAGTTTGTGGATTACAAAGAGAGGCAGAAAATTCTGGGTAATGATGAAGGTGCGCAGGTTAAAGTGGATTCAGAGATCGAAAGTGCTGCTCCTGGTCTGATAATAAGGAAACGGAAGGGAGCTGATGCGCCTGGAGCTAATGATAATGAAGCTTCTGAACAATCAACATCATCATCTGCGGGAGCAGAGCTCTTGGCAGAAGATGCTGTTGCACTGTTACTGAAACATAAAAGAGGATACCATGCAGAAGATGAAGAAGGAAATCATCAAAGCCAAGAGATATCTGGCACAAATCAACGCAGCAAGGAAAAGAAAAGGCCAAAAAGAGTGCTTGGCCCAGAGAAACCCTCGTTTCTCAGTAGCAACTCAGATTATGAAACCTGGGTACCACCTGAAGGTAAAAGCTCTCTCTGAAAACCTCAAATTTTGGTTGTAAATTCAGTGCGTTGATGCACAATGAGCATATATTGAAAGCTTGATATTCGTCTAATATTTTGTAACTTCTATACCCCATGCAGGGCAATCAGGTGATGGACGAACCTCTCTAAATGATCGTTACGGATACTGAACTGATATTCTAGTGGTCGCCTCTGTCTGGGCCTTGCAACCTTCTTAGAGAAATGGCTCCTAGGAGACACTACCGGGGGCTTAAATGTACCAAGAAACTGATGCAAACTTGGCACCCTGGCTTTTGGTGATGAAATAATCCATTTTCTCCTAGTTTGTGGCATGCCACAAAATATATGCATGAAGGACATCTTTTAAACACATATGGACAACGATGGCTGCCGAATGCTATTCGTTGTGATTGAGTTGACTTTGGTTAATTTAAATTTTGAAGGCATCCAAGGACGGAGATGGCCTTTGGGATTGGGGGTAATTTCTAAATGGAGAGAGATGTTTCTAAATGGAGAGAGGATGTTGTAGACTAGTAGTTTGGTCAAAATTAGGCTGACGCAATGCACTTTTGTACAATCATGTATAGCCTTTTTAGAAGGGGTTAATGGATACAGTATCCCTCAACTTTTTTCTTTTTTCTTTTTATTCGGCGGTCCCTTTCTGCTCTTTTTCATCATAATTTTTTTTTTTAACATTTGGTTTTTATTTTAATCGTGTCTTTCTTTTTATTTTTTAAGTTAATAGTGTTAAATCGCATTCTGTTTATTTTTTACGTTAATAGTGTTAAATTGCATTGTTAGTCTTGTAGGATTTTTGTTTATTTACTTAAATCTCATATCTATTATTTTTCTATTGAATTAAAAAAAATTTGAAAAAAAGCGAATATAAAAATATTTTTTATTTATTTAAAACATCATTTATTTGTATAAATCTATATCTACTATAGTAAACAAATTTTGAGTAATAAAATATTTAGTGTTTTTTTTTAAAAAAATATCAAGACTTAATTAAGTTTTAAACTTTTGAAGGATATTTGTAGTTTTATAATATCTCAAAAAGGTTTTTTAATTTTTTCAAATATATTCAATCACTCTCTTTGAAAGTTGAAAACTGAAAAAAAAAAAAAAGGCTAAGCAAACTTTGAGTACAAAAAAAAATATTTATAGAATTTTTTTAAATGTCAAGAGAGTTTCAATTAAGTTTTAAACTTTTCAATTAAATTTATAATTTTATAATACTTTAAAAGATCTATTTTAATTTTTTAATTTTTTTTAAATATGTCACGTCACTCCCTCTAAAAGCTCCCCAAAAAAAAAAAACTGAAAAAATGAAAATAAAAGTATTTTTTATTTAAAATATCTTTTATGAGTTTAAATTTACCTATGTAATAATAAGCAAATTTTGAGTATAAATAAAATATTTATAGTATTTTTTAAAATATTAAAAAAAGTTTTAATTAAAATTTTAAATTATATTTATAATCTTATATTACCTCACAAGAATATATTATAATTTTCTTATTTTATTTTACAAATTTCTTAATTTTTCTCAAGTGGGGAAGTATAAATCTTGTTAAGATGTTTTTAAAAATATTCACTTAAAAGTGGTTAAAAGACAGGATAAATCTTTCTTCTTCTTTTTTCTATAATTTTTTTAATTTAAGTTATTTATGTAAAAAAAAATAGATGGACAAGATTAAGATAAAAAAAAAAAAGTTGATATGTTTGCAATTTTATAGTGCTCACGTTATGATTTAACATTATTATCTCAAAAAGTTAAAGAAAAAACATGATTAAAACAAAAACCAAACATAAAAAACGACTTTAAGATGAAAAAAGAATAGAAAACATCATAAAAATAAAAGAAAAATTCCTACAATCATTACCTTAGTAACCTACAAAACTTTGTAAGGACGCTCTATTTTCTCAAAATATAACTATGATAAAAAAAAAAAAAAGTGTGTGATTATTGATATATAAAATATCTTTTATGAGTTTAAATTCATCTATGTAATAATAAGTAAGTTTTGAGTATAAAATAAAATATTTATAGTATTTTTTTGAAATATTAAAAAAAATTTAATTATATTTATAATCTTATAATTACCTCACAAAAATATATTATAACTTTCTTATTTTTTATTTTACAAATTTCTTAATTTTACTCAAATGGAAGAGTATAAATCTTTTTAAGATGTTTTTAAAACTATTTACTTAAAAATGGTTAAAAGACAGGATAAAATTTTCTAATTTTTTTTCTAATTTTTTTTTAATTTTTAATTTAATTTACTTGAGTAAAAAAAAAAAAAATTAGAGGAACAAGATTAAGATAAAAAAAAAAGTTGACAGGTTTGTAATTTTATAGTGCTAACGTTGTGATTTAACATTGTTATCTCAAAAAGCTAAAAAAAAAAAAAACATGATTAAAACAAAAACTAAACACACAACGAATTTAAGATGAAAAAATAACAGAAAAACACAATAAAAAAAAAGAAAAATTCCTACAACCATTACCTTAGTAACTTGCAAAACTTTGTAACGAAGCTTTGTTTTCTCAAAATATAAAAATGAAAAAAAAAAAAAAGTTTGCGGCTATTGATATCTAAACATTTTTTTTTCAGTCGAATGGATCCTAAATAATGCTCTTATTTTCATTATCGAAAACGTTATTCTCAAATGAATAAAGTGAGATCAAGCCTCAACCTCAGTTCCCCACAGCCTAAACTGACTCTGTAAAATTATGATGTAATAGATTCATTCTAAATCTAAAAGATCATTTTCAGATTCCAATTGATAGTAATTGTTTCATTTGAATTGTAATTGACAACTTATACCATATGAACTTTACTTGTAACAAAACGAAGGGTATTTAGCATCAATGGAAGTTACAAAAACACTGGGTTTCATAAAAGTTATTTCTGTGAAATCATTTCTTCTGATTCTGCTTCATTTCTGTACATCCGAAAGCCAATTTTTAGTTGGCCAAAAAACAGTTCATCCCAACTTCCCAACCTTTACATAGAAACTACATAAAGTTACAATATTCACTTTACATTTCAGTGTGGATGACAAGGATCAATGGTGGTACAATAAGTACCAATCCGTTGTAATGCTGAAACATGTAACCCAGCATTTTGTGTTAGATAATAACTATGGGACCTCATACTCTCCGCATTCCTGGAGTCGAGGGATGTCGCAAAATCACTAAGCTCTGGATCTTCTCGAAAATCAAAGAAACCCAATGTCATCCTAGCAGTGATAAGCACCCATACTCTTGATATCTCCTCATTCATTCTTGTTCAGTGCAGGAAGCCAAAAAAGTCCATACCCAGCACAAAACAAACATGCTTGCTATACAACAGCATTCAGAGCTGAGTCAATGGCAAAGAGACCAAACGAAGATCTCTCGTGCTTGATGACGCCTTTGAATATATTATATACAAGAGTGAGCCTAGTCTCTAGCAGGAAGTTTTCCATTAGATCACAGCTTTCCATAATCAAGCTTGACAAGAAACAAAGAATGAACGACACCCATAAGGCAATGGGGTCATATTAGTGTAGGCAATGAGAGGAACCCTTGCACTGAATCAGTTGAAGAAATAAGGTGATTTCAACACTTCCCTCAACTCAAAGTCTCCCCGCTCAGGCAAAGGCGGAAAAGACAACAAAGGAAAGGACTTCTCAAAGCTCTCCAACAACTGCATACAAAACAAAAGGTTGAGGAAAAAAGAACAGTAAAAAACGCAGGAATTCAGACTTGGATTTTACACAACACAGTTCCTTTGTTCTTTTCTCCACATCAAAACAACCACAATCAATTAAAGAGAGTATAAAGAAATTAACTTGCCTCTTATCAGCTCTACCAAACAAACTTCAAAAATGTTCAATTGGGTTTTCTCCTTTTACAAATATATAATGATCCTAGGTAATGGATGGACCATTTATGTTTCCAAGTTGTATAACAATATAGTAGTGCTAATACTTACATTCTCCAATATAGGTGTTTCATAGAGCTCAACAAACTTTTCCCTCAGTATCCTGTTCATCTCATCCACATCACATGCATGCGTCCAATATGAATCATGAACTCCTGCAATGGTATGCCAATATACAGTAATGAGAAACCAAAACTAGGAATGGGACAGAAATTGAGACAAAATCCAGCTACAAGAGAAAAAACCTGCAAAGTTTAAGCCTGCCCTTTTGCAGGCAGCTGCAGTCATCATCATATGAGAACCATCGAGGGAATGAACAAAATTTGGTGGGAAAGCTGTTCTCTGTCGTTTAACCATAACCTGTAACAGTAAAAGAACAACCAAATTTGAGATCCAAGACCCAGAAGGTTCAACCTTTTTTACCTTTCTTTTAGTATTTTGGTCACAGTTCAGACTGAACTAATATTTAGCTAGACAACAAGCTAAGGCACCCGCTAAAAGTCTACCAGAATCCTGTTTACACGGAAACTGGCTCAGAATATTAGGAAACAGCTTACAGAAGGTAACAGGTAAGATACTATGATCCTTCAGCCATAAAAACTGGTTATTCAGATCTTACAAAATTTGATGTGCCATCAACATCTTAGCACAGACCACAAGTCAGAGTAAATATTATGTAATTGCTATTAACTAAAGCAGAAACCAGCAACAGAGATACGTAACATTACCGTGTCAGTTTCTTTTTGTAGAGTTAAAACCTGTAGGGAAGTTGTGATCTGCAACAATTGTACAAAAGGAAGGTAAGAGAACTCAAAATGCCCTCTCTAACGATATGAATGTAAAAAAATGTCAAGATTTTATTTTTTTCCTGCAAGTATTATATGCTCTACTATGCTTCAGGAAATGTTATGGAACTCACAGAATGCCTCCCTAATTTACGGTAAGGTTGTACAACAGGAAGTCCTATTGGAGTTGTCCACCGCACTGGCTCGTTTTCAGATGCAATAATCTGGTCATGTGGAAGTCATTCGTCATATGGACAACCCAAAGAAAAAAGGTAAACAGAATGTCAGTTGTTGGTATAGAAACTAAATATAACAATAAGAAAAAAAATCAATATGAAGGAAAAAACAAATAAATTGATCACCTTTGCACATTCCCCAAGCCAGTTCATGATACTTCGTGCAGCTTCAAACATCTCTCCTAAGGCAGCTAAGGTCACCTTATCAAGCAATAAAATAAATAGTCAGTGACCTGTTCTATGAAAAAGTGTGAGGATAAGGACCTATGAATCCTCCTTGTTGGGATGCTCCTTTCACACCTTTGCAGCATAGCAAGAACAACCAAAGATCTCTGACTCGTTTGTGAGACCACGGTCCTTTAACCTCCTTTTGATTTGATCTCTAGCACCAATGTAAGTCACACCATACACAGATGTCATCACTGTCTGCTTCACCAATTTTCTATCCACCTAGATGATTTCAAATCACTATTTAGTTTGAAAGCATAAGAATCTCCCCACTATGAAAAAAGGCAAGGTATAACCTATCCTTTGAATGAGACCAAATAATAATAATAATAATAATAAATAAATAAATAAATAAAAAGGAAAAGCATGGGCCAGTTTTGATCCAATTGTAACAAAGCCATCCCCTAATGACAGAAGGCCACAACAATCAAGAATGAAAGCATGCAGAAAACCTGATTAATCAATGCTTTTGCACGCAATGCATCAGGAAAAACTTCTGGATCTTTCTGTGCATCCCTCCGCATGATATCAAGTACTCTGCATTACAGAAGTGCACATTTATTGCCACATTCTTTTGCAGATATCTGCTTGCTTCACAACCAGCAATGCATTATCAGAAATATAGGGTGGAAAAAAGAACAATTCTTCCAATGGATACTATAGGAATTTGACTTCTGTACACGAAGCCTAACATATGGATCTGGTCATAGGCCAGGAATAGGAGCTTTCCCAATTTGCAGTTTTGCTTTGATTGATTTGAAATGAATTAGGTGTTCCTAATTTAAACAGAAATATTGATCTTCAATTGGATGTTAATACTAATTACATAGATTTATTAGAACACCAGAAAACTCACCCAGTGAAATACATTCTTCTTTGGATTGGAGAGAGTAATGCTTTCAAACACTCAGGCAAGGCAATAATGCTTATTGCAGAATTTATATCAAATCAATACATGCTGGCGTTTTGCAGGAAAAAGTGGGACCCAATTAAGAGGTGATTTGGGTGACATTCCTAAGATCATATTTGAGGGTCCTCCTACCAAGAATTGGTCAGAAGTCAAAGTTCAGATTCTATCCTCTTGTGATTAAATGGAACTTGTGATGTTAAAAGAGTAACCCTTTATTAAACCAACTACCCAAGATTTGCCTCAATGTTCAGCATATCTTTTTTTATTTGTCAAATATCTTCGCTTTCAAATTTTAGATCTAATCTTTAAATCACTGAGTTACAAACCACCAGCTTCATTGGTTTCCTTCAACAAAAGCACATCTGAGATCAAATCTTTCTGCTGTATCACGAGGAAACTACGTACCTAGCAGCTATTCCTGAGTAGACATCTGCAGGCTTCTCTCCAGCAACGAGATTAACAGCAGCTGCTCCCAACTGCTCAAGATTCCAATGACTAAGCATGCTGATGGGTTCAAAGTATAATCACATGCATTTTTATCTTACCTTTTTCAAAAAAAAAAAAAAAAAAAAAAGACAAAGTTCAAAAATGAAAGTTTGCAAGCTACTTCTGAAAGAGCAGCTTGAATTCAACAAATTATTGATGTCAGCATAGTACATTAGGAAATGAAAATCAGACAAACAGATTGGCATATCGGGTTTTGCATATCAGAAATAATTGACAGAAAATCAAAACTTGATACCATCTTCCAATTCAAGTTAAGGACACTACCTTGTCTCTTCCAAGTGCAGCATAGTGCTGTAGGCCATTGCAGGAACCATCCTGCAGAGAACCATAGCAGGGAAGGGGTACCTCAGAAGGCAGTACAGTACAGGTTACGACAAAATACAGAAATATCAAAGCAAAATAAATTTAGATGCTAGAAGAGCAAACATAAGCCCAGCGAAAAGAAAGAGAGCAGCCTGGCATTAGTACCAATAGAAACCACCTAAGCTTATCAATCTATTTGTTTTTCTAAATCAATCAGAGCAAGCTACAATAGCAAAGAATCCTGACTCTCCTTTTTTCTTTCAGCTCCCTAAAACACCTACCTCTCTCAACCCATTCCCCATTAATTCAGCAAAACTGTGCTCTACAGAGTAGGATGCTTTATAATCCTTCTTAAAAATGTCCACAAGAAGTTCACATGAGGACAGTGCAATGACATTAATAAGATATACCTGATGAATGGGAATATGCGAAATATATGTTTCTGGCGAGGAGCTTTTCAAAGCCTCAGTTAGGTTAATGCACACAGCCAAACACTGAAATGGATCTTCTGCATGCAACCACCAACGCTTTCCTTCAAGTGGTTTCTCCGCAGAATCAATTATATCATCAAGGTGATTCTCAGTAAAAGTTATCCGTCCCTCATAAGATAACTTGTCTACACCGCAAGCAAACAGATTTGCAAGGTGTATCTTCAGCCAGTGTAAGCCTGACTTTCCAAGAGGGCGTCCCTCTGCAAATTCCAAAATCCCCCGGCACAGATCTGAGCCAAGATGGTTTAAGTACGGATGCATGGGGTAGGCACGCCCACGGAAGTCAAGATTGTGTGGATAATAGAAACCTTCTTCATCTTTCATCTTCCGTGCTACCTGAGGCCAATTAAGAACGATGGCATAAGCCCTATCAAGAAAATTGGAAGTGTACTGTCTCAAACAAAATAAAATGAGCCTTACAGTAAGTTTAAGTTCTATGTCGCAACGCTGTGAATGTCTTTCCCTGTTCTCTTTTTTCACATCTTTGAGTTTCCACTTCCACTTCTTAAGCAGTGCCTCATCTTCTGTTTCTGGCATCTCAGGTAAAGGAACCTGATATGAAGCCATTAAATGAGAAAGGTTTTTTAATTGCTATAAACATCATAATCAACTCTTAGAACACAAAGGAGAAGTAAATGAGTTTCTCAAAACACCACGAGTTACTTGGGCGAAAATTGGAAAAGATACTCACATCATTGCGGTCTACCAAATCAGCAAGACGACCTCCATTATTCCATATTCTATCAACAACACTAAGTACCCTCTTATTTACCCTCCATTTGGTATTTCCTAGCGTATCCAGGGCCTGGAAAATTCATTCAAACAAGAGAGAATCCTTGTTAAACCAGAAGCTAAGCTAGTAAAATCTACACATATGTGATAGCACATATAGCTATACACAATTATTCTCACATGTTAGTATCATATAAGATTTTGTTCGAACATCATCACATGTCAGTACCGTAGAAAATTAGTTCAAACGAAAAAATATGCAACAGTAACCCTGCAATGCATCTAATATGTACATACCTCAAAAACTGGTTGTAGCTGCTTCCTAGGTGCCATCTTAACTGCTTCACGTTGCTGTTTTGCACCATGTATCCGCATGACATAGGATGGTAAGAAGAAGTGTGCTCCTTTATCGTAACTGCAAAGGGCATGGAGGTTATGGTTGACACAAGTCAGAGAGAGAGGTAAATATCACAAGCTATTACGCAATTAATTATAGTGGGGACTATGCTAATTTGCCTCCAGCAATCCTTCTTTACATGGAGCTTTCTTCATCTTTGTCTTCTGACACTTTTGTTTTACAAAATCAACCTACATCAAGAAATCTTAACCAAACTCCATGAAATAACATATATCCTAACCAACTCAGCAGACAATAGTGTTCAAACAACTTGATCTGACTGCAGAGATCCATCTGTGCCATTTTTCTCATGAAATCATTTGTCGTCTCCATGTCATTCTGGCACATTTAAAATAAATTATGTTTTCCTACATGCTGGCCCATTTAGACATTATCACCTGAACAAACTAAACTACTTCAGTTGAGTTCTCTATGTACTATCCTAATCCTAAATCAACTCCATATCTGACTTCACATCAAAACAATAATTCAATACTATGTCTTTTCTTGTGCTGAAATCATCCACTGCAGCATCCTTGTTGAAAAAATAGTACTTTTTCTTTCTCTATTTATTTTATCTCCAACAGCCAATTTTCTTTCTCCATTTATTTTATCTCCAACAGCCAATCATTCTTTTCAGTGAAGCATACCTTTCCCTTTAACATCAAAAGCATTTATAGTAAATAACTCCAAAGAAATCCCTAAATTTTCCTGTGTGTGGAAATAATGTTAATCCCTTCTTAAACATGATAATTAGTAAATGCTCATAAATGTTTACAAACAATGTTATCCATCCACTTAACAATCCTAGACAAACTCGGCCATCTCATATCTCATATTCACCATGTTTTCAATAAAAATTGGCAAAATTAGTCTCCCTTCCAAGGCAGGTTACAGAAACAGTGAGGCAGAGCCTTCAAATATGCCGGGATGCTAAATTCAATTAAACTGAAATTGGAATTGGAATTCCAGAATTTAATTTCAGAGATTCATCACTTCATCAATTGTACCATTTTAAGTGATTAACTTGACAAGAAAATTGAAAACAACTCCAGGCATCAAGCAGAAGTATCCAGAACAAGATGTGAATATTCCAGAACTTGGAAATTATATCCAATTAAAAAAGATCAAACTAAAACAAGACAAACATGGCAAAACAGTAAATATAAAACAAAAGTTACTGTACCCTTTCCATCTAAGTGGCGGCACCAACATTGGCATATAAGGAATCACCATCACCGTGTGCCTTGCCTGTTTGGAGAAACAACACATTTTATGGTTCCTTGTACAAGAAAAAAAATATCTACAACTTAAGAGGCACCAAGGAAACTGTCTGCAAATATTATTTGTTTCAGCTCTAAAAATCTAGATACTAACCTATCTGTTTGGAAAGCAGATGGCATACCCCAATGCAAGTTCAATGTCATAAAGGATGATAAAATATGAAACTAGATTTCATTGAAAGAACAAAATATGACAGGGTTACTCACAGTTTTCTCAAGGCCTTTGAGGACCAGTGGGTCACATTGAATAACACCATATCTTTTCGTGGCCTTCCTGTTTAAGAAATGGTCAATTTTCATCAGTTTGAAGCAGTTACAGGAGAGAAAAGATACAAGTTGACAAAAGAATGGCTCCATACCTATTTGCATTTGACAAAGTTCTGGATGTGTGTACAAATGCAGGACGAAGATCAGGTGGACTGTCAGCCAACTGATCAGGAGGAGGCTGTATATAAGCTGTTTGTAACAGCAATTCAATTAGACGGCTGCCAACCTGCAAAGTGCAAGGACAGAAATCAAACTTTTATATGGTACATTAGTTCACGAAAATTAGCTTTCCCCAATGATTACAAGCACACAAACCTTAGCCTTAGCATCTGTACTCCATGGTTTTGAATCATCCTGCCCCTTCACAATCTTCCTCACTGCTGGCAGCTTTTGTTTTTTAATCAAATCAGTAACTTTTTTTCTTAGCTTTTCTTGTTCCTTCATGACATCAGGGGATTCAGCTTCTACACCTTTCTTGCTATCATCAGCCTTTTCCTTTTTCTTCTTTTTTTCTCCAAGAAATTGCGTACTCGAATCTGTTTTATCACAGAAACAGGTACAGATTCAGCCCTCAGTTCAAAGAAAGAGAACAAGGCTGGATATTTAGGGGGTCCAATATATGAAATAAGAATGGTATCCTCAAATATTTCTGCATTATATATATATATATATATATATATATATATATATATATATTATTTATTTTGAGGAATTAACTCCCAAAGTCAGAGGAGACAGTGGAGCAAAGTGTCACACGTGCCTTCAAAGTAAACTAGGTAAAAACCTTAAACAGTTTACTAAACAAAGGCACATACAAGAACACGCATAACTGAAACGATAAAGATAATTCTCGTCTCCAACAGAGAAACGCAAGAGCATAAATTCATAGTGACACAGAGTGTCCTAACATGAGATGTGTTCTAACAAAGGAAAGTTGCAACCCCAGTCTTATAAGTCCACCATGTTCATGATTGGAAGAAAGTGTACCTCAATAAAGAAAGGTGGAATAGAATATTCAGCTTAACAAGGCCCATGATATGAAAAGCATATTAGACAACGACAAAGTTGTAAAAACACAGTATCGAAAGGATGTTACATTACACTACATTGTTTTGCCCTACCTACATCTAACGTCCTTCCTGGAACTACTGAACACGAGAACTTGGATGCATAGGAAAAGAAATTCAGAAAAACTTCCTTCAAAATTGGGCACACTAAGTTTTAAGGAGGTAACTCCAAACTCTAATATTACAGCCATTAGTAAGGTTTCATAATCTAAATTCCACAGCTGATTTTTATCGGGTAAAAATGTAGATGAAGGCTGTCTAAATGCAATTCTAAAAAACTTTATATTTTCCCTCGTCGTACGATATTTTAATCTGGGCACTCATTATCCTCTGTCATTAAATCAAACCGCAACCATAAAAATAAGCACATAAAAAAAGTTAAAAATCACTTGCCTCCTGCTCAATTGCATCACCAATCGTACAAGCAGCAGCCAGAACTCTTGCACATCCTTCCCCGCCTACCATCACCATTGCTGTGAGCTTATGCATAGTAATAACAGACATCATATCAGCTGGCAACAGATCAAAATACTGAGAATAAGCCGGTCTGCTCTTCCCCATTCTAATCGACTCCTGCTCTTTCGCAATTGCATCTCTCAAAGGCTCAAACCAACCAAGAAACAAACTCTTCATATATGGCAAATTAGGAGCCAACTTCTGCTCACACATATCCATTAAAAGCTCCTTATATTCTTTGGTTGCCTGTTCCCACGCTTCAGCTTCAATCTTCACTTGCCTTCTCGTTAAGGCCTTACGCTTCTCTCGCGTCATTCCACGGTTAGCATGTAGCCTCCTTCTCCTCCTAAAGTCCTTCTCTTTCTCCTCTTCTTTCCTCATTTCTTGCAACAATTCTTCCACTTCCTCAGCAGCAGACACATTATCTTCAACATCTGTTGACGACACTGCCTCAGCTACACTCACATACCCTCTTGGACAAAATCCACTACACAGATTCCCATTACTACTATCATTATTTCTCAAAAAACCAAAACTGGGTTTTCCCATATAATCCTCATGGGTTGATGTTTCGCCAATCCGGCGAAAACCCAGTAGTGGACTGGAATTATTAACTGAATAGAACTTGAATTTCTCATAAAAGATGGGTTCTTGTGAGGCTCCTAAGAAGCTGTAAGTTCTCGGAAATGAAGGGAAATTGAGAGACTTTGATTGGGATTTCAAAATGGCTCGGTTTGCTACGTTTTTCCACATAACTGTGGATGGTTTTGAAGGATTTAGAGATAGAATTGAGGGTTTCTTATCAATAGTAACCAAAGGATCAAAAAAAAATTTAGACAAGATATTGGGGTTGGCACTGGACATCAAATTTTTATGTAAAAATTTTAAAGGGAGGGAAAAGTGTAATTGAGAGATGAATTGAAATGTGTTGGTAATGGAATTTGAGAAATCAATTCAAGTCATAGAGAGAGAGAGAGAAGGTATGGTACAGAGGGTGGTGGCCGCCTTAAACCCTGCGGGAACCTTCTCTGGGGTTTTAGCATCGTTTGTTTTTGCCCCCAATTTAGCACTAGCAGGGGTATTTCTATAGTTTCAAAATTTTCAGGGGGCTTGTATTATAAATTGCAGGTTTTGGGAGATTTAAAAAAAATAAAGTTAGGCCAATTTAAAATAATGAAATTACAACAATGCTCTTAAATATTTTTAAATTACAATGATCACATTAAAGTTTAAAGGTATTAGAAAAGAACTAATTGGTTCCATAGTATAATGCAATATGTATTTGTCAAAAACTGATATATGGAATTAAAATTTTTTCAATTTGAGGATCATAATTATCTTTTAGCTTGTAATCAAGTTTATGGATTCCGTCCATTAAAATCCAAACACAAGTGATGATAAAATAATCCAAAAATCCTTTGAAAAAAACCTAAATCATTTAATCACTCTCTTTCCTTGCAGATCTGCATCTGTCCCCTCTCTCTTTCTGTTTCTTCTGTTTCACACTCTTTTCGTCCGATCAATCCACTAGTGATCATCTTTAAGAACTTTATTTAACCGGTGCATGAATCCCTCTTCGTGCCAGCTCTCATAATAATCCAAAAATTTTGCTAAAGCCTTAGGTCCTCATCTCCCAAGCAAAAATTACCAAATGAATCATAAAGTGACTCGTGACCACCAAAATTTCTCAAGGACCAAAGCCCATCAGCCAATTAATATACTCTACCATGCCATCAAGAAGCCATAGAGGAGCCCTAGAATCGGGGTTCCATAGCCATACCTTGTAAAACAGCTGATTTTATTGCATGATTAGGGTTTTTAGTATGGTCCATTAATATTAATGGACTTATGCTGATGGCAAACTCATTGTTTGTGCTACTGTCTACCGTGACCAAGTTTGGTTGGTTGTTGCTAGCTAGCCTTAGAATGACATGGTGGATCACTTGCTTCTTGGTGTGGTTGATATCTGGATAAAGAAGGTTTTCAACAAAGGAGCTAGTGTTTTGGACCATACGAGTGGCTTTGTTATTGGATATGTACCAGAGGGTGAAGCGTTTGCCTTCTAGAGATCCTTTGGCATCGTTGACTAAGATAATACCGAAGCGTTTTGATGCTTCATAGTTTGGTCCTATGGAGATAATGCCAGTGGAAATGATCACAAGAAGCCGAAGAATGACGGTAGAATTGGAAGAGCAAAGCTTGATGTAGTCAGCATCAGTGTCATCTAAGGAGGTGGAGGTGGCGGCGGTGTAGGCTGTGGTGGTAGTTCTGAGGACCATAAGGGGTTGGAAGAGGTAAAAGGGCTATGAAAGGATGAGTACAAAAATTAGTTTAAATTTAAGATTTTATAATTTCACAATACAAAGATACCTGGAAAAAAAGAAAAAAAAAAAACCTGACATTGGGTCATGGTAACATCATGTGTGAAACACATGCTCAAAATTTGATCAAGCAGATATATAAACTTGATTACAAATAAAAAAATACTTATGATATTCAAATTGAAAAACTTTTAGTTCAAAATATCAATATTTGGTTAATGCATAGTATAGCATACTATCAAATCAATTAGCTTTACAAATAAAAACTTCCTTTTATATGCAATCGCTCTTTTGTTATAGGTAATTATTCAAAAATATTAAATACATTTTAGATACAAAATCAGGTTTTTGTAATATCTATTTAAATATGAAGATAGATTTTTTTAGAAGACTACCGTAATTTCATGACATCTCAAGGGATTATTATAATTTATCCTTTAAAATAACCAAGAAAAATATTTTGACATGGAATTTAATTTTTTTTTTTTTTATAGCATAACTGAATAGGAATGCAGGATGATATTTGATTATTATTGTTTCAGAGTGATTATAAACGAATCTCAAAAAAAAAAAAAAAAAAAAAAAAAGATAGATATATACGAATTAAGTTCAATTGTGGTATAAGAACTATCTCTATAAGAAAAGATAAAATAATTTATAGAGTATTTAAAATTAAATAGTTCTTTTTTTTTCAAAATTCATAGTTCTATTTAAAATCATAACTATCAAATCAGCAGTGTTTTGGAGTAATAAATAAATAACTTGAAAAATTATTGCTAATTATTTTGCTATTAAGGTACAGACTTTTTGCGATCATCTAGGCCAATACTCCTTAAAATTTATGTGATTAAGATATATTTATGTGTTAACCTGAATTTAAATATTAATGGTAGTATCAAAATTTTTTATTAATTCTTTAAAAAATATATAAATTCATCCGAAAATATCTGTTTCTTCAAAAAAGAAAAAAAAATGCAAATTAATAACCGCACCCACTCTAATCATCAAATCCTTCAGACAAATAGTATGTACGTGTTATTCTTCCCTCTTGCCTGATTAATTATTCTGGTAATTGATATTTTAAACTAAGAATTCTTCTCTCTTGTCTGGTTAATTATTCTGGTAATTGATTAATTATTATTCTCTCTTGTCTGATTAATTATTCTAATTAATTAACTAAGAATTCTTTATGTCCTCGACTCTTAATTATATTTTAAACTGCTATATTATATTTCTGCTTATGTAATTATATACATGAATTATTAGTTAAATAATTGTTTAAATTTGCTGCAGGTTAAAGTAGATATAACAGAGTACTGGCGTTGTTTAGAAGATGAGAAAACTATGGTAATTAAAGGCTAATGTCCAACTATAACTGCTACCTGATCTTATATCAAACAGTTGAAGAAGCTGGCTGGCATTGTCCACTCTCAATTAATTAATCATCACATATATCCAATTAGGGATTAATTAATTAGTATGGTAACATCCTTTTATTTGCTATATGTAACCTAACATTGCATCGTTACAGTGTTAATTACTCTTTAAAATTCCTTAACCAACGTTAATCACATTATGATATATCATGAAATAATAAACTACTAAAATATGAGCTCAATACAAGGTCTAATTCGTTTAGAAAAACTCAGCCTGAAAGGTCTCCTGTTGACAAATTTTATTTCATCTAGTTGGTCGTGTAACTCCACCTTACCATAAACATCCTACATCGCATAATACAAAGCAAGATGTACAATATTTGAACAGATAAGCCTCCTCACACGTCACGAGAAACTCTCATTGCAGATGATTGTAATAGGATAACTAGTGAAGAGATATGTTCACGTCAAAGACAGATTATCATATATAAAAGTTAACAAGACACTTACAACAGGTTTTGTCTTTTACCAGGTTTTGTCTTTTACACTCTGTACACATACAAAATTATCTATTGCTGCATTTCTTATTCGTTCAGAGCAAAAAATATATTGCTAAACCTATTCAAGTCAAACATAATAAAAATAAAAATAAAAATAAAAATAAAAATAAAAATTACTAAACTTATATCAAACACTTATATATATATATACACTCCCAACCTAAGATCTCGTATGTCGAGAATATTATTGCCATTAACCTATATTCGAAGTGCAATAAAGCAAGCTAACAAGGCACTATATCTTTCCTATAACATTACTAGGTATGGACTACGCTGCGAAAACTTATAAATGACGGATATGTTTTATGATTCAGTCCAAAATGTACTATAAATTTTTTGTGTTTTATCATTTTATTTAGGTTGCTTGGATTGAACGAATTAGATTTATGATACTCGATTTTTCCAAATTCTTTTTTCTATTAGTTTGTAGAAATTTATTTATTAATCACCCGTTATTAGATATTTAATCTCCTTTATTCACCTTAATTACAATTTATTATTATTATCTTTTTTATTAATTTAGTGATCACATTTTAGTAATGGCATTAACAACTATAGTGCTAACTAAAAAAAACCAATGCTAACCATAATTAAGTTATTTTACTAATACTATTTGGTTTTAAGTTTAGGTTACATATCAACTATGTCTATTTACATACAAACCGACTTAATGCCATATACTACAAAAAATAACTTATTTATTTATTTACATTACATTCTCATCTATTGTTCTACTTGTTCATAGCTTTAAGTATTATATAAAATAAACCTATCATACCCAATACGTAAACTATAACATCGAGCACCAAGAAAATGGTTGCTTGAAGGAGGTCCACTTTATTGCTAAAGCCACATCCAAAATACACATGATGCATGGATCCCTCGGTAATCGACTCAACGGTGAACATTGCCATTATTACTTATAATGCCTACACCATAAGAAACTAAGTGAACGACAACTCGGTAAGTTAATTTATGCATGACGTGAATATATGCACGTGAAATGCACACGGAAAATCATTTTTCATATCTTTTCGGAGACCCTTCTCATAATCATTCTAAAAACCCTTTTTTTCATGCTTGGACGTGCCTTACTAAGTACTTAAAGGTTCATGTCCGTACCCACTCGATGATCTATCCTATGCAATTCTTCCGTGGGGCCATCACCAATTCTCCCCACAATCGAGGCTAATACAAATTCCCTCGATGAGATATGCCATCTCCTTCTATCGGGGCTTGCCCCACATGAAGATTTTCTTTGGCATTGGCCATTATCGGCTTACCGGTGAAAGAAATGTCGGGGACCATGAAAATCACAAAAACCATATTTCATATAATCCATTAAAGGTCATGAAATATCACGTGAACCGTGAAATATTTTCTCGGTGCTTTTGGAAAACCATAAAGGAAATCTTTTCATAACTTTGAATCCTTTCCATAAATTTGCACGCATATGCATTTTATTGAAAATGCATAACCATTATAATTTCATGAAATACATGCCATGAGTGAGATATATTTATGCCATGATAATGCATAATTTAATGACATAAAATGCACCATATACATTACCTCATTAAAACCATTCCAAATAATGGCACCATCACACAATATAAAATAATGCATTTTCATAACCATCAACATTACAAGTTCCACACATCATACACACATCAAATGGCATTCAAGGAACCAAATTACAATTCAATTATAGAAACCAAAACATAAACCCTAAAAATTCTAACCTAGGCGAGAATATAAACTAGAACCTAACCTAAACATTTTCTCCCAATTTCAACACCAATTTATTCTAAAATTTCATTCAATTATGCATTAATATTAAGAGCTAACTCAATTAGGAATTTGTTGATTGCATACATACATTAATCCTAAATTGAGCCTTAATGGGCCAAAATCCTAACTTAGGCAATTTAAGTTAATTTTTCAACTTCAATGTAATTTCTCATTAAATAATTCATCTCATTACACTATTCTAAGTCTAAATTGATCAATTGAATCATTAGAAGTCAAATGTACCTAAACCTTAATTTTTCTCCCAATTGGGCCAAATATGGGCCTAAGTAATTTAGGTGTAATTCTTCAATTTTTATGAAATTTCTCACTTTCATTCATTAATTTATATTTAACCAACTCCTAATTAACCAATAATTCATTAAATAAGCGAAGGAATCAAAATCCTAAAAAGGACATTTTGGACCGAATGCTTCCCTAAGGAATTCCATGAAAATTTCTTCAATTTTAATGTAATTTCTCACATTCAACCATCAATTCACATCTAATTAACACATAATCAAGTGATAAATCATTAAACCTAGCAAAGCATCCAAAACCCTAAAATTCAAGAACTCGGGTCAAAAAATTTCTCTCTCCTAACCATAGGAAATTTTGATCTTTCTTTCTCAATTTCAAGCCCAATTAACCTATTTTGAACTCAATTGCATGAATTTCTAGCTTAAACTCATTTCCCCTAATTTTTTCTAACTAAGAACCCTAACCCTAATTTTCAAAATTAAGGCAATTAAACATAAAATTAGAGCACCAAACCATCAATTAACATCAATTAAACACTCCTTGTGGTGTAAGTGAGATTAACTTACTTAAGGAAGCTCCAAGCTACCCTTGAAAGATTGGATTATGTTGAAACTTCTTTTCCTTCTTTTTCTTCAATATTTCGACCAAGCTCCTCTAAATTCCTCCTTGAAATTTTTTAGCTTCCAACTTGAAATTTAGGCTTAATTAAAGTGGTTTAGGATGCTTAGAAGTGGTTGGAAGTAATTTGAGTGAAAATTTTGATGGAAAAATTGGCAAGAGTTTGCCTTAGGTTTTTCTATTTTCCTCCCATTTTCTTATATTCTTGCACCCACATTTATAGGCTAAATTGGTGGACTTTTGACTTAATCTCCACCCTCATTTTGGCGTAATCTTGGCCCTTGATTTTTCTTTAAATTTCCTTCCTTCATTTGAATTAATTCCTAGCTTTTTATTCTTCTTTTAATCTTAATCTTCCATCTACCTTAATTATAACCACCCACTTAATTAAAAGTCAAGCTTAATTAATGCATTAAGTTGCAAAAGAGGGGGAATTGCTTAATTTTGGTCCTTAAAGTTGCTAATATTTTCTCTAATTAGTCCTCCATAAGTCCCTCAATTATTTAATTGATTACTTTAGGCCCTTTCTTTTAAGGTTTTCTAACAACTTTTTTACTCCTAAAGTTCATACCTAATTTAATTTGAAAGTTCAAACTTTTAAATTCATGTAATTAGTCCCTAAGTCTAAAATTTGTTTTCATACCTTTCCAAAATTCAATTTCTTTTATAATAAATTCAAAAAATTCCTAAAAAAATTTAATCATTATTCAAATAATTTTTATACACTCATTTAGGCCTCCAAATTAATTACTTTGTGTAAAAATACACTTTTTCTTATAGAAAATATTCCCTATACATAGAAAAATTCATCCAAGTTTATTAAATATTCTTACATATCCTAAATGATTTTTCTATATTTATTGGATCATTTTCTTATACCTTTAATGCACTTAAATTAATTAATTTACCTAAAAAATACTATTCATGCACAATAAAATTCACATAAAATAATCACAAAATTTTAAAAAATTCATCCAATATCATCGAATAATCTAACACTCCTCTAGCAATTATTCTATGCAAACAAAAAATTTTTCATGCACATTCATCATGCCTAAAAGAATTATTTCACATAAAAAGTCACTATTCATGCACGGAAAATTGGATAAAATATTCACTCAATACCAAAAAATCATCCTAAATGCATCGAATATTCTATCCACCTATTTACAATTATTCCATACCTATAAAATATTTTTTTCACACCTTTAATATATTTTTAATTTATTTAGTAATAGTTTGAGGTATTAAAATATATGTCAATTTAGCTATTTGAAAGTCCTTTAAACACGAGAGGAAGATTTGTATTGTAAGTACTTTTCATGAATCACCAAGATAAGAACAAATCTCCACCTTACGATAAACCAATGAAATACAATATCTAATTGTTCAAATAATCCAAGAATCATGACTTCATCACATTATATAAATAATGTCTATTATTTCTTTTATTGTTATCATTATTATTAATATACTTATAGGTTGAGACATCTCAAATAAATTCTCATATCGAAAACTAAAAACCCAAAAAGATTAGAATCATTAATGTGTGGTTTGCAACAAAACAATCGACTTTCTATCTTAATAAATATTTTATTTTTAAGTATATAATAAACCATTTTGATCTCTTGTTTATTTTCATACAAAATTAAAAATTAAAAATTAAAAATATAATTTCAAAAATTAAAAAAAATAGAATGTTGCATAGTTTGTCTTTTTCATGATTTTTAAGCATTTTTATAAATTTTTAGAGTTTTAATTTTTTATAATTATTCCTCATTTTTAATTAAAAAAGAAAAATAAAATTAGAAATATGATTTACGATCCAATTAAAAATGATGTGAAAAGTGAGGACCAATTGACATTCAACTAAGGATGTAATTAGAAACGGATAAAAAATCAAGAAACTTGATTAAGAATTAATCGTTGTGAAATTAAAAGAAATCAAGAGAATATGGATTAAACAATTTCAATTATATGGTGAATTGGAGACAAATAATGACATATACATTGAAATTGACAAAATAATCCAATGAAGGATCAAAATTGATTTTCTCCCAAACCCTAAAAATTCCCGAGTATATAAGCTCACTTTCACCTCATTTTGAAAGAGGCTACCTACCCAAAAAACTAGCCACAATATTCTACTTATTGTAAAAACCCCTACCCTCCACATTTATCCATCTTCCCTACAAAAAATCTTAGTTGAAAAAATATAACCTCCATTATTTATCATCTTCTTCCCTTTTTAACCCACCAAAAAAAAAAAAAAAACTAGTTAGGAAAACCGTTCATCTTTCTCTAAAAATCTAAAGATTGAGACACGGATTCCAATAGAAATTTTCAAAAAACCTAAAAATATACCAAAGAGTTCCTAAAGAGGACATGACCGAGTCAACCCATTTTTTGCCAACTCTGCTAGGTTCGTTTACCATTTTATTCCCACCAATTGGCCATTTTTCGAGTCAAATCAAACTCCAACAATAGCGTAGAAGTGTTCCTTACCCAAATTTAACCAAAACCCTTCAAGAAATGCAACAAAAAAATCTAAAATCACCGAAAATTATTGAAGAAATGTATGACCGATCCGTTTCTTCTATCTTAGATTTGGCCATTTTTTAGCCAAATTGAGAGCTTCCACTACCACATATGGCTTCCTTAAGTTTCTAGCAACCATTCTCTTTTTTTTTTTTTTTTTTTGCAATTGTGGAAGAAAATACGTAAATTGATGATGATTGATCGGTAGCTCGATCCTAACCCTTTTAATACAACCTCGGCTAAATCTTTCATTTTCAATCAAATTGAACCTCCTAAACACCATAGAAACACTCATCATAGTCTTTTGAGTCGATTAGTATTCTCAAAACCTCTTACCTTCACCGGAATCATCATTGAAAATAAAAGGAGATAAGGCTAAATCTTTATCAACATCGATCCCCCTCCTTCATCAACGAGAGACGGCTACCACCACCATAAACAGGTAGATTGAGACCTCCTCCAGCTCTGCAGTCTAGTCCACATGCCTCAAGGTGGCCAAAGCAATTGACATAAACGAGTCGTATAGATTTCATCCTCTATTGTTTGCTTTGAATGAATAGAAAAGGTTCAAGTTATTTTGAGACAATGCTTGTGAATGAGTGGAACTCTACTAATCATGAATTGAGGCACATGCTATTTGATTGAGGAGATTGAAAAATGAATTAGCCGAAGGCTTGCTTTATTGAATTAACCGAAAAACAATAACAATTCCAAGGTCTAGCCTTGCCAACTCTAGTCGATCAAATACAAAAATCTCTCTCCCCCACACTTATTCTCCTACTTAATTTATAATTGGAATACAAGCGTCATAAGGAAAGTGCTAAATAAAAGGATTCGGATCAATAAAAAGGAAAGTCCAAACCTAATTAATCGAATCGGACTCTAACATTCTCTCAATCCTTGCTCGTAATTATTCAACTAGAATTCCTCTTTCTATGCACATAAACTCTTAAAGAATGTTGACCTCCCGAATCCTCCACATCAATGCCGGATTGCAAGGCATTCGGTTCGTAACACTATTGTCCTCTTGGTTGTGAATAGCGGTAAGCAATTCAATGGTTGTTGTATTTAACTAGATAAAAGTGGAAACTAGACACCACCGATTCTACTTTATAGCTTGATTGATTTATCCGACTTTGTTGCTATGATCACACAAATTGGTGATAAAGAGGTCGACTTAATACATGAACTACTAAAGAGTTTGTAGTCTAGTGGTAATGGTCTCTTGCAACAAAAGGTCACGGGTTCAAATCCTAATAAATTAGTTCTGCTAGAAGCCTTGGGTGCGTGAGTTATATATATATATATATATATATATATATATAGAACCGGAAAATGGTGAACTCTCTCTGCCCTGGAGGGTTTCAAACACTTACTAATAGTCATTGGTAGTGTTAATGGAATTTTATTGGGGTCCACATGTGTCCCACTAGTTTGATCCATTGGCATGAGGAGCTTTTAATTCAGAGGTTTTTAGCACCAGTTCTGTGAAAGAGGGAGATTCTTAGTTATTTTTGTATCAGTGAATGTCTGCATATATGTTAACATCTTTTAGTGCAGATGCATAAAATCGTGTTGATATATATTTCATTCCTGACTCTGCTTGCATTCTCAGAAGATTCTCCTTTGGAAATGATTCTTGCTTTAGCATACCAATTTAGAACATGAAATATAATTGATGTTAATTTATTTGCCAACATGCTATGCATACATCGTGTCTGTTTGTATACTTGATTACTTTCCTTTTCTGCTCATGACTCTTAAGTATTATGTTAAAGACAAAGACTTCCCTGTGCTAATCTTTTTCTTTCATTGAGAAAAAACCGTACTGAACAACCTTCAGGCTTAGATAAAAGACCAAACAGTTGAAATCTAAACCGACTTTATTTTCTCTAGTTTCTAGTGAATACGCCCACGCATTTGATTGAAGTCCCTGAGGGAAGTCGCTTTCTCCAGTCCGCCACCCTACAGGAGATTTGGTGGCATTGTTGGTTATCTGTAGGGAACTGGCACATACCTAAATTTATTTTTCAATTATAAAATAGAATGCCACTCTTCCATCAATAATTACCATTGCTCGTTATCTGCAGTTTTATGCATTAATGTCCTGCACTAACTGCTCGCTTTTCCCATCTAGTAAGCTCTACTCTGTTCTACTCTAATAGATTTGTTTCCTTCTTTTGGTTGCAGTGATGATTGATTTTCACTGTAATTCATGCGCTTAAGGCGGGCTATGCTTCAGTTTATGTGACCTCTCCTTTATTCTATAAATCTATGCTGGAGTGATCACTAAATCTCATACCTATTTTGGAAGGCTAGAATTTATCTCAGAAATTAAGTGCATTAAGAAGTATAATTTAGCTTCAGTTCTAATTGTGAGCACCGCGGTGATAGAGTAGATTGAAGGTGTAATCAAATTAATTGAATCAGACTCTTATATGCATATATAATCAATCAAGCTTAACCAAACCACCCCACACCCCCACCACCCCCCCCCCCCCCCCCCCCCCAACCAAAAGAAGAACTTCCTCAACTATGTTTTTTTCTCTGCGTGGCGGACCTTGTAATGAACGTGGATACAGATATTGTTCCTTTGGGTTTCTATTTTTCTGTACCTGACCCACTTGCAGGATTTGGGTTTCTATTTTTCTGTACCTGACCCACTTGCAGGATTTAACAGTAATTACCTCTTCAAGAAATCTGTCATGCACCAGGAGTGTAAAGATTGAGGAACAACACAAGCATATTATTTACATCAAACGAACTTGGATCCTAAAGAGGTAACATGGATGGAGGCGATACATTGTTCACCAAAGAAATTTATGGTGCTAGTTTATTCTGTGTTTTCAGGTTCGTTTAGAATTTTTTAATGTTGCTCGTCATAGTGCTCTGTTGCATTACACATAAACTCATTGTTCTTTGCATGCCTTGTGTTACCTAACTCTGCTTTTGCTCAGTCCCATGAAATGTTTGTTGATGTTTTTCTTTCTGAATTAAGGGGTTGGGACAGTGCTGAGAAACGTAGCCTGCAGATTGCCAGGATATAAACCAGCATAATTTTTGTCATAATGCAAAATAGTGAACTTATTATTTTTCTTTCATAATCATGTATCCTGCAGATTGCCAGAAATGTTTTTGTTCTTTTCTTTTCTTTTCTTTTCTTTCGAACATGGCTTTGCCTCTGCTGTGTGAGCAATTAATGCTGTTGTGACCTTCCATTTGAAAGGTGTGCTGTTTCATAAGACTGAAAAATTGTGTTGGTCCTAACTCGTAAGCTGTGTTGTAATAGAAGATTCGTCTCCAGTTTTTTGGTTCCTTGGATACATGATGACATGAATTTGCTTGCAACATCAAGTGGTTTTTTTCTGGATTAAAAATGCTTGTAGCAACTTATAATGGAAAAACCTCACGATGGCATGAAGTCCACCATGATGCTTCTCTTTTGCCGTTTTCTATTGCCTCTTATAAAGGTTGTAATGGCTCCAAACTTCGTTGCAGTTCTCTTCTATCTTTTCAGTTTTCAAGGTTTAACGTAGAAGATGGCAGGATGTGCATGTCAAATGGGAAAATCCCACATCGAGAAACATAAGCTGTAAGGCAAGGCATGTGGGATATAAATATGAAGTTCAAAACAATGAGCAACATACTTACCTGGACGGGGTCCATGGGTGATCAATGAGGCCCATGGCCTAGGTTAGTGACATTCATTGCAGTTAGGATAGGTGCTGATCTAAGGTCTCCCCAAGTGGGAGAGTCTACGTCATAATTTGTGACAGAGGGGTCTCCCCATGTACTCATAACTTTAAAAAAGAGTTTACCTATAATTGGTCATGTACAGTTTTAATTTTTTCTTATTGAGAATTTCTATTATTTTTCAGCTTAATTGAAATCCTTTACTCTTATAAATTTATTGATTGAGACCCTCTATTATAACAACTGTCAATTATTTATTCTACATGACAAGTTAAAACTAACGATAGCTAATCAAACAACGATACATGGTAAAAAATCACTTGGTGTGCAATACCAACAAACACCGTTCACAAAAAAAAAGGGGGGGTATTTTTCTTCTTCATCTTCTTCCTCTCCTACCAACTGCTATACCGACACTAGTCATCCGCATCCAAACCAACCGACCACTCGCTTGAACATCTTCATCTTCGAACACGCAACACACTGCCACCACTTGAGCCATTCTAGCCGTGAGCCATATACTACCGACCACCCTCGTCCACCCTCATCTCCGAAGGATTATGTATTCTATGAAGATGCAAAATAAAACAAAAAATTTTTCTCCATTTAAAGCTCTCAAGATTAAGCCATTGAATCAACTAATCATATATATATATATATGAATTAAAGCTTGAGTAAAGGATTACCTCTTATAGCACATACTTTAACCTTTACGGAAAATGAATCGTCCGAGTGTCCGACCTCCGTCAATAATTCACAAAGTCCAAGCCCCACACAAGAAGCACTCAAAAGTTGTGGAGTGCTAGCTACTACCTTTTTCGACTTGTTTCATGTTTTCTCTTTAGAAATTTATTCGGAGATATTTTATGAAAATCCTAATTGAGAGGATGAGAGGTGGCGTGTTTTTGGAAGGGAGAAAACTATTTTCTCTATTTTTTCTTTATTGCCGTGTATGACTAGCTCTCACACTCTCTTTGCCGCACCTCCTCTTGTATTTAGAGGTGAGTCTTCCTTGTCCTGCAAGGACAAGGAAGTGACGACATTAAGTCCTAAAAAAACTCTAGGTTATTGCTTCCTAATCCTTAGAGGATTAAGAGTTGTAATGCGAGTGGGCTTTTTTGATCTTATCCTTTTAAACCTTAATCTTTATCCAATAAGGTTCATATTTATCATTCCACCAAAATATCTTACGAGCTTTTAAATTAAACCTATTGACCTAATTAATTACTAATTAATTTGAACTATCCAAATAAATTGAGTTAGATATTTTTAGGAGGTCTATATTAGGAAATAATTTCTCAAATTACCTTTAAACCTAAATTTGAAAACTAATTTTCTTTTTAGGTAACTAGCTTTCATGAAAGATATGCATCTTATGAAAGTGCGAATAAAACAAAATTTTTTCTCCATCTAAGACTCCCAAGATTAAGCCGTTGAATCAACTAATCATATATACATGAATTAAAGTATAAGTAAAGGATTACCTCTCATAGCATAGAATTTAACCCTTGTAGAAAAGGAGCTTTCAAGTATCCGGCCTCTATTAATAATCCATGCGGTCTACGAACCCATACAAGAAGCACTAAAAAATAATAGAGTGCTAGCTCCATCTTTTTTAAAAAAACTTATTTAGTATTTTCTCTTTAGAAATATATTCATGGATATTTTACGACAACTTTAAAAGAGAGGGGAGAGGTGGAATGCTATATAAGAGGAGAAAACTATTTTTTTTAATTTCTTTTTGTCGTGTAACCACTAGCTTGCTCTACTCTCTTTGCCACACCTACTCTTGTATTTATAGAGGGAGTGTCTTCCTTGTCCTCCAAGGACAAGGACGTGGCGACAACAAGTCTAATATGGACTCTAGGTTGTTGCTTTTTATTCCTCCCAAGATTAAGAGTTATTATGCATGTGGACTTTTTGATCTCATCCTTTTAAACATTGATCCTTATCCAATAAGGTTCATAGTTATCCTCTTATCAAAATATCTTGTAGGCTTTTAATTAAATATATTGGCCTAAGTAATTATTAATTAATTTGGACTATCCAAATAAATTAGGTTAGATATTTTTAGGAGGCCCATATTAGGAAACAATTCTCAAATTACCCTTAAATCTAAATTAGGAAACTAATTTTCTTTTTAGGTAACTTACTTCCAAATTTAGAACCGACATATAAATTAGGAAATTGATTTCTAAAATAGAGAACTTTCTATTTTAAGAAACTTCTTTTCTAGGAAAATTTTCATTTTAGAAAACTTTTCATTTCGAAAACCTTTTCTAAATAGAAAACTTTCAAAAATTGAAAATTCTTTTACATCTTTGCTTCTCTTTTATTATGTGAATGCTTAAACTTATGTGTGTGACTCAATAGGCTCCTAGATATATTGATAATGTATCAAGATTGGTCTCTAGCAAGGTATCATGACTATTCAATTCTCTAGAAGGATTAATCTGCAATTACCATTAATGAGTAGGGTTACCATGCAATTTAATCTTCATGCCAATTTATCATAATGTGATCTCGAACTTGGTTATTAGTCCGTTCGATTATAATCACATAAGTTTTTTTCGATTCTCAAATATCTTAGCTCTTAAAGTAGGCCAACTATACTCTATTAGTGTACTCCTACTATTGTCATAGATTTCTTGAGTAGACATTTATCAAAATGCAATGTGGTAACTTCTTTAGCATACAAAGAATAACATGTCTTATCTTAGTCATTCACCTATTTTCATTAGATTCTCAATGCACCTAACGAATCGTCCACATGCAACTCTTTACTTGGGTTCATCAAAATGAGTGTCAAAGTATATAAATTCTCTAGCGATAACCGTGATGACTTCAAGTTAAAGGACTAGTTGTACCTATCTCGTATGAGATTTTGATAAAATAAACCAAATGACTTCTCATTACTAGTCAAGTCCAATGATATGTTCTCTAACATTAATCACCTAACTCGCTTGCTTTGGCATCACCATGCTAATAGATGTGAGATCTCCTACTACTATCTTATAGCACGAGCATAGCACTCACAAGTCTAACGACATATAATCAATGTCTATTCTTGACAATGTTACAACTTAGGACATTTAATGATATCATTTAAGTAAATTAATGTTTGTCTCACATCTTTGGATCAATCATTAATGCAAATGCATACTATATGGATTTCTATCTAATTCTATTCAATAAATAAATATAAATAATAAGAATTATAGAAAATTTTCTTTTATTATTAATAAAATAAATTATACAATGTTACAATAAATCAAATCATCCAATCAAGGTTGAATCTTGCGTACCTACACTAACAATCTCTCACTTACACTTGAGCCAACTGGCCATGTCATTTATTTTCGACGATCCAACAAGGCTCTCATGTTTCAACTATGATAAAGGCTAAGTCAAGGGGTTAGTTGTATTATCGTTAGAGTGCACCTTTTCTATCCTTACATCACTACGACTGATAATCTCCGTAATTAGGTGATAGCAATGTAAAACATGCTTAGAACTTTGATGAGACCTTAGTTCCTTAGCTTTTGTTATGGCTCGTTATTGTCACAATACAATATTATTAGATCAATAATGCTAGGAACCTCTATATTTGATCATGAAGCCAAGTGACATTGGAAAAATTCCTTTCCTTGATTATTCCATACTAAACCTTTTATTATCATGTCAATGTATCTGTCTTAGGAAACCCCTCATATTCTAAGTGATCTATCTCTATAAATCTCGGCTTCTTAGAACAAAGGTTACCCTCTCATGTCATACATAGAGAAATTTTTGGATAATCAATTTTTTACGGATTGTAACATGGTAGTGTTATTGCCAATAAGTAGTATGTCATCTACATATAGTAAAACTAAAACAATTTAGCTCCTACTAATTTTTTTGTATACACAAGGTTCATCTTCATTCCGTAAAAAGTCAAATGCTTTGATCATTTTATTAAAGCATTGATTCCAACTCCTAAATGCTTGCTTAAGTCCATAAATAGATTTTTGTAATTTACAAATCTTATTTATATGTCTTTTCATGACAAAACCATCGGGATATGTCATGTACACATCCTCGTTCAATTTTTCATTAAGGAACGCAGTTTTGATATCCATATGTCACATCTTATAATCATGATATATAGTAATCGCAAGCATAATCCGAATAAATTTAATCATTGCTACTGGTGAAAAAGTTTCATCATAATCAACATCTTGTTTTTTATGATACCTTTTTGCCACTAGTCTAGCTTTGTACGTAGGTATATATCCATCCATTTTAGTCTTTCTCTTAAAGACCCACTTACACCTAATAGGTTTGACACCTTTTGGTGAATCAACCAAAGTCCATACTTGGCTAGTGTACATGGATTCCATTTTGAATTGCATGGCCTTATGTCATTTTTTGGAGTCAATATCTAATATTGTCTTTTCATAGGTATTAGCTAAAGGATTATGCATCGTATAGAGGTACGGAATAAAACAAAATATTTTCTTCGTCTAAAGTTCCTAAAATCATACCATTGAATCAACTAATCATATCTATATGAATTAAAGCATAAATAAAGGATTATCTCTTGTAGCGTAGATTTTAACCTCAATAAAAAGAAGTCATCCCAAGCATCCAGTCTTAATCAATAATCCACACAATCTAAGCACCCACACAAGAAGCACTCAAAATTAGTAAAGTGTTAACTCCATCTTTTCCGACTTGTTTAGTGTTTTTTCCTATAAAAATCTATTCAAGGATATTTTACGACAACCCCAAGAGAGAGAGGAAATATGACCTATGTGTTAGAGGGAGAAAACTATTTTCTCTTTATTTTTCCTAACAAATTATGTAACCTTAACCTTCTTTTTAATTGCACCTCTCTTTCTATTTATAAGGAGAAAGGCTTCCTTATCCTCTAAGAATAAAGAAGTGGTAACAACTTGTCTTCTTATAGACTCTAGGTTGTTGCTTTTTAATTC